GACTCATGTTATGCCTAAGAAAAAATTGTTCTAAAAAACTATCAGAATTAATCACCGTGCCTTGTTCAATCCATCAAGATTGTTCATAATGTAAATTTTCAAATCAAAACTATATGGTAATTCTATGTAAATCTGAAAAGTGCTGCGTAATTGCTGGGCGTAAGGTATTTGAAATTAAATTCAAATAGGTGGAGCTTGCATAATTGTCGTTTCGTTTTTTCAACTGTATTGCAATTGAAAACCACAAACATTGTTTGTTTATCCATGCACAAGAGGCGACTTTATTTCGCTGTACAAATAAAAATAGATATAGTCATGTACGTTCAATTAGGATTTAAGATGTAATTTAAATTTCAAGTTTAAGGTATAGATCCCTTTCATCTCGAACATTTTAGCCCCATTAACACACTTTTACGGATACTTTTCAAAATAAATTCCCCAACGGTTATCCACACGAGAGTCATTGATGCGGCATTCGGAAGCAATCTTTAATTATGTTAAATTATAATGTATATATACAATTCACTGGATACAATGAGCATGCATGAACTTAAATGAATAAGGTAATAACATTTTCACTCAACACCAACGAGATGATGCATGAACTTAATGATGATTACCTAATAAAGAATGGCAGAACAACAATCTTACGGTGCTACGAAGCTTATCAAAAAACCTCCACCATAATCAGTAAGGAATTTAACAGTGGTTTCCTATTTTCTGCGGAGCGAATTGGTACTGGTTTTCACACTATGAGCTGCCTGTAATGCCTGTACATTCATGCACCAGATATAAGCTACACACTTACATACGATTGCATAAATATGCAGTATAGAAATATGCTAAAACATCTGCAATAAACTAGTAGGTTAATTAGTAAGTCAGTAAAGCACGTTGCTTTTTTTTGAAACTACAATGAAGGAAACGACTTGGCAATCAAAATCAAAATTTGAATCTGATAATTGTTTACCTAGCAATTTAATCGCTCGACGATGACGCGTATTGCATCTCAAGCATTTCCTATATGCTTACTTATTAGTCCTCAATTAAGGAATGAATTTCCCTTTTCATGGCTTTGCATAGAAAAGAAGCTTTTTCGATCTCTTCATTTCCTAAACATTTCTAATTAGGAATCCTCATTTTATATATCAGAGCCAACAGATGCGTCCAAACTGATTCCACATTTCGGTGGAATACCTTTCTTCCAAATCTTTTTCGAGGAATACTGGAAACAATAGTGATTTTTCTTTCTATCTAAATCCATATCTGCAATGGTTCAAAAACTGTATTTCGGGCATCACTAGTGCTGCGCAAATATTGTTAGATCATGCATGCGTTTTAGTGTAATTAACTTCTCATTCCATTTAAATTATTCCCCTTTAGTCTGATATTGAATCGCAACGGCTTCCACACATTACCCACCTGACCACAGCAGCTCACCATTGAAATTCAGCCGTTTATTTACCTAATTTGCTGATAATTACTTTATAAGGGCTAATTATGAACCGTTAATAATACTTTTTAGCGGTTCACTTATGTAGCATTTGCTTGTCGTAAATAACAACTACCTGATGGTACGCCGCATCTGTACAAAGTGTAAATGTGGTGTAATCGAGAACCAATATACCTGGTGTGAACAAAAGAAACATGCTTTTACTCGTGCATTCACTTACAGGACTCTTGAATTGGGGCTGTACAAATGCGTGCCTGAACTCCCTGTATACATAGGCTTCTGCCCAGGGCTTCCCGTCCAGCTAGGAGTTGGAGGGCAAACCTCAAGCACCTTAATTGTAGTCTCGGTATAACTCGATCGTGCAGACAAACCCTCGTCACACACTTAAAACACTGGAAAATTTTATGTGCTGCTAAATTGCGCATTCAAACATATGAATGTACATAAGTAAATATTTGGCATATTTGACTCACTAAAAATGCTTCCACGATATAGCGATCATTCTATCGTTTGGTTCAAGATATAGCGAGAAAGCGACCTAGCTAGAATCCCGTTAAGTAATGAATCCCGTCAAGATTTTGCAGACAACCAAACTCTCCCCTCAACATTGCCTTGTCTCGTTCTGACAGAGAACAGGCTGGTGGGCGCATTTGTCGCCACAAGTCTTAACCCCAACTAAAAAAAAAATTGCCTTGTCTTCATCCAAGATGTACCACAATCTGAGCAACGTCATCGGTCAAGCTTTGCCCAAAGTAATTCTCCTCGATTAATTTTCTATATCTTGTATTCAATCAACAAAAATATTCAAATTTGGACCCTTTTTTTAAAAATTCAACAATAACATTTCAAGCGGAAGCTAAGCCAAACCATTCGAAAATTTACGAGATGCTCCACTGTAATGCTAATGAGACCAAGCAAGCGAATATTTTGCATTAATTCCCAAATTTCAACTAGAATGCACAATTGCTGCATAATAATACGTGTGATGTGTATTAAGGAATAATACTGTATATCTATTACCTCTTTAGCTAACATGTATTATAGAGATGATAGAATTTATTTATAATGCGCAGGTTGACTAGATTTCAGAATGATCATAAACAGAACATAGCAAGAATCTTGGAAGTGAAGTCTTGCATTTGGTTCTCCTTCGCTACGCAGAAATAAGTGGTAAAATGTGCAATAAATAATTTCGCACTAAACTTTAAATTATTGGTCTACAGACATCAAGTATAGTGGCCATGGAAAACCACGAAACGTAGTGAAGGAAATATTGTATATTAGTAGCAAAAAAAAAAGCATTTATGTGACGGGTGACCTTGAAGATCTGTCAAGGTCATGTAGCGCCACAAAGATTATGCGTTGTCATTTGATCGTTGCTGTTTGCTATGTCAAGAGTAGTTATGTGTGAACCAATGGCCTGGCAGCCATGGCGTTTTGATTCATCTTTATATAGGTTACATGTCATGATATGTTAGCTTCAGCATATTTCAGTACATTTCTGTGAAAAATCCTTCTTCATGCAGTCAGTTAGTAGAGTAAAACCCCAGAAACGTCCAAAACAGTCAGAATTTGGAATTTAAATTTGTAATAGGGACATCTTTCACTATGGACTTTTAAAATTTAATAAGTACAGAGAACATCTGGCACCAGTGACATTTAAAATTAATCCAGTGCTTGGAGCATCTAACAGCATGCAAACGATATTTCAAAACTGACCGCATTCGGAAATTTTCCCATATTTTTCTTTTCTTCCATAAGCGTCATCCAGGTAGGGCCAAATTTGGAATGAAATCAGGAGCAGTTGACTAAATTGCTTCTTTTGTGCGAAGAATGAATCATTCGTACCATGCCAGCCGCCTTATATTAGTATATGAATACTAATCCAGGAGTTTAATTTGACTTCCATGATCGTGTTGTACTAAAAAATTGTATGCTGTAATTTTTCGTGGATCTAATTAACTGACCTGCATCTCTGCCTCTAGGCTAGAGGCTACAAATTAGAATGAATATTATGTCTGTCTGTTGTATTTGCCTAACAGACTGATTGTAGGCCGAGTGGCTGAGTTGTGTTTCCTTTCTTGTGTTGTATGTGTTTTTAACATGTGTCGTTTGTGTTTTAAACATTTCACAATAATTTACGGGAGCCGAAAACGTAACCAAATGTTTGTCGTGAGCATCAGATCTGCATGGGAAAGTTAAAGCTGCAATGTTTGTGGTGCAGGTGATGTATATATGGGTGATGATCACGCCCAGCGAATGTGCCACAGTACGCCAACTCTGGCAATGATGACCACACTCACGCAACTGCTCACCATCAGCGTCCTGCTGCTCTGGTGCTGCTTTGGGGTCAACGGTGAGGCAACCTTTTCCTTATTTGATCCAGGAACGATTTATCCAAATGATTACCATGTTTCTAACTGATAACGTCTTCCATACAGATCAATTATTTTGTTATGTTAACTAAACGATGTGGTGCAACACTTTAAGCTCTGGAACTTCATAGTTTCAATGGTAATGAGATTTATTATTAAGAAGAAACTCTTATAACTTCTATATAAAAATTACTTCCGAATAAAACAATCGCGTATCACACAGGATCTGCTCCAGCATCCATTCTTGTGGACACTTCAATGACATACCAGACAATCCTTGGCTTCGGTGGTTCCTTCACCGACGCCGCAGGGCAGAATATAAATTCTCTGTCCAGCGAGACCAAGGAATGGCTCTTGAGGTGGATACCAAGAAGTGTTTGTTTGCACAAAAGGTCAAGTTGTGTCACAATTGAGCTGTTGTCAGTAGTCAAAATTAAACGCTGTTCATATCTCAAAGCCTGCCTTCTTATTTGAAATGCAGAGCTTACTGGGCGCCAGAAGGGATCGAATATGGTGTTGGCCGCGTGCCGATTGGCGGAAGTGACATGTCGCCCCGAGGTTACACGTTGGACGATGTCGAAGGCGACGTCGAACTCGTTCACTGGTCCCTGCAGCCTGAAGACTACAACTACAAGGTGACAACAAGGAACATATACTTTTAAATTTTATCTATAACTTTTATGCGTTCCAGTTTAGTGGTTTCTTTCGACTTTAAAAAAAATTTTGGCGAACTAAAGGCATAAGGAAAGTTTCAAACGAGTTAAATTCAATATTTTCATCACAGTTTCCCAGTGAAGAATTCCAACTATACGAACCATGAATGCGAATTCTCGACTTACAATTGAAATTTATGTAAAAACTTTCCAGATCCCAAACATGAAGCGAGCCCGGCAGCTGAGCGAGCAGGAGGTACTGATATTCGGCTCCCCATGGTCTCCTCCCACTTGGATGAAGAGCAACAAAATGTTCAACGGAACCGGCTACCTCCTACCTGAGTACTGGCAGCCCTACGCCAACTACATCGTCAAGTTAGACTCTTTACATCCAAATTTGTTACATATAACGGCTAAATTTTTCTCATATTGTGCAAGACAATTGAACAGTTATTTTAACTGATCGATTGAGTATGACATACATACAAGTATGAGATACATTTTTCCCATTTTTATTTGGTTAATAGCCTTTGTTTTCAAATTCTTGCTTATGGTCAACAATTAAAAAAAGTATAATTCTGCAGCCTCGTAACAACTGAATTAGAACTTTTTGTTTGTTTTGTTTTCCTTGAAGATCTGTGTGTTCAGGCACTGTCGTACTTTTCAAAACTGTTACTCGATATATAAGTAAACCACGATTCTCACTGACGTTACGTTCTGTTAGTAGGTATTTGAATGAAAGTTTTAATTCAAATTCAAGAAAAGTGCGTAAAGAACTGCCATCGTTGACCAACTTTTTTTTTTAATTGAGAATATTCACTTATGTATAAACATTATGAAATGCAGGTGGGCCCAAGCTTACGAATCGGAAGGTGTTCCTTTGTGGGGTCTCACTCCCCAAAATGAACCACTGGACCAGGAGGAGGTGATGAAATATTAGACACCAACTATCATTCGTCTTATATGACCTTACATTCATACTATTTAAACATTGAAACTTCAAGCCTGATCACATTTAGAGTTTTCACTTTCATTTTCAAGGATTGGAATATCAACTCGTGCCGCTGGCACCCGGACGAGATGAGGGATTGGACCAGAGACTACTTGGGACCAAGTCTCGAGGCCACAGGATACGGCAGGCTCAAGATGATGGCTTGCGACTTCAACCGCTACACTTTGCCATACTACGTCGAGCCTGTGAGTTTTATTTGTTTTCGTTTTTCTAAATAATTAAAAAAGGTATGATAACGGAATGGGCCAAAATTAAATCTTATTTTAAAAATTTACATTTTCCTAAACGTCATTGTCTCCGCCATTAACATTCCAGTGTCAGGAAAATATAAAAAAAAACTTAAGAAAGTCCTGCAATTACTTCATTAAATTCGTCAAGTCTTGGAAATTTTGTCTCATCATTACCGTTCAACTTTACGTATCATGGAAGAATTTACTCCTAAACTGTAACCTGCAGTGCTTCACTCACCCTGAGTGCAGCAAGTACGTAGATGGCGTGGCTGTTCACTGGTACGGCGACAGAACTGAGTCTCCAGACCTTCTCCTCGAGACCCGGGACTTGGACCCGACCAAGTTCATCCTCTACAGCGAAGCTTGTCACGGTCAGTATAGAATTTGTCATCAATTTCTTGTTATCATTCATGCTAAATCTGAATTTCATGATATTTACTAGAAAAATTCTCACTCAAGCAGAGAAAGGAAACGTCAAATAGTATCAAACATTATTTTTACGTATTTTTTCAATGCATTGACAAACAAAGATCAAGTACTGCTAATAGGAAACGAAAGATCGATATTAGGAAACGAAAACATGAGTCATTATATTTTGATTAGCATTAGATTTTTAAATCAGAATATTATTACGTACTCTCTAATGCCGCACTGACCAGAAAGTCTTGAGCAGCGACGATGTGGGGACCCGACGGAGAATTCATCCCCCTAGGGGACTGGGCCCGCGGCGAGGATTACTTGCTGGACATCCTGGAGGTGAGCGGCGCCGCACTTGATGGCGATCGCTGCAGAATTGCGGAATACTTTCTCTAAGTTGTAAGGCAGACAAGTGATATGCAGCATTGGCCGAGACACTCCTCAAAAAAGCTGTGGAAACCTTACGAGCCTGCGTATGCTTATTATTATTTAAATATTGATTAACATTCACGTGTCCAATGTGGGGTTATGTCCAATCATGTAGTTATGTATGTATACCCACGAAAGGCCACGATTCTCACTGATATTACGTTCTGTTACTGGGTATTTGAATCAAATTTTATAGAACTATCATCGTGAGGTGTTAATTTTAACTTTCACTGCATCTCCATTGGAAAAATTGGGTCAAGCAAACTGTAGTTCCTGTTCACTGTGAGCGTTCCACTTGGATTAAATTAATATATCCCATAGTTGATTGAAGCAAAGTTCATTCTATAGTTAGTGCTTTCCCTTTGGGTCTTCGAAGTCAGTACAGCCACATGAACATTGCAACAGAACCTCAACTACTACTCGGTGGGCTGGGTGGACTGGAACATGGCGATGGACACCAACGGCGGACCACACTGGATTGGAGCCAATCTGGACTCCCCAATAATCGTCAATGCAGTTCGTGTCCTTACAATCAATGAATTAATTTTCTAAGTTTTTCATTTTTCTAAGATCCTTTGAAGCAATAAAGCATCAATAGGCAAGACACAATCTTTCACTGACACTCCATTCGTAAATGAGCTGAGAATACCTTTTTACAAGTGACATGTGCCACTCGAAAGCAATTTTATGAACATTGGTTGGTTTTTTTAAGCGATTCCAACTCCGCTTAAAATCCAAGTTGTAATTTTTTCTATCAAGAATATTTTTTATTACATAGGATATCAATAAATTGTATTGCCAAATCTTCAAGGTAAATAAATTATTTCTTATCATGCAATTAATTAAAATTCTTTATCTGCTCACGCAGACTGCCGACGAGTTCTACAAGCAGCCCAAATTCTACGCGCTGGCGCACGTGAGCAAGTTCTTCAAGCGCGGAGACGTGCGCGTCGACGCCATCCCCACATTGGACACGATCAAGGCCGCTGCCGTGACCAAGCCCGACGGTTCCGTCGCAGTCGTCGTCATTAACTTGTAAGTAGGAATTAATCGTCGTGAGTATTTAAAAATGTGAAACAAAATTGTGATCGTAAATTTGAAATATAATATTTTAGTTATTTGCATCGAGCCAGACGGATATGATTCATCGGAATAAAACTTATATCGCCAGATAAAGTGTGCATTTTAGGTCAAGAAATTTCACAAGTAATTCTTGAAGAACAGAACAGAAGCAGTGCCAGTGAATCGTGGAAGCATAATTTCATCATCATCATCCTAATCATTACACTTGTACCAGGTTTTTAAAACTGACTATCGTGAATGTATACAAACGATTTATTAAGATATTCTGTTTCTGCTTAATTTCCAGGGCCGAAGAAGGCACCGGCCTGAGCATCTCGGTGGACGGGACGCGTTTCATCAACGTAGACATTTTGGCAAAAAGTTTCAACAGTTTCGTTGTGCCTCCTGCATAAAATTAAAATAAATTCGAGATTTTCAAATGAATATGTAATTAAATCTTCAATAGTTTATTGGAATATGTTTCACTGCATCTCCTTTACCAAAATTGACCACGTCATCAACTTTGTTAGAAAGTGAAATGTAATTTATTTAATGTCCGAACTAAGCTGCCGTCACGAATCTTCACTTGACGAAGCAGTATACCAAAGAAATTCGTCTCTTCTTACAAAATAGCTCGTACTCTCTGTCTTTAATCTGTCTGGTTATCGGTGAGGCTAAACGCCATCAGCGGAATCGATGGATGGATTAAACCATAATTTTACTTGTATATAAATTAATGGACACAGATAAAGGAACGAATACTTAACTAAGCAAATAAAATGAGATGAAATCACTGAAGGAACTAAGCAAGGTCCTTTGAAGGAGTGCAGGTAGCCGGCGGTAGAATCAGAGGACTGGCGGTAGAATCACAGACGACTTGCAGCTGAAGCATAAACGGCTGACGGTTGAAGTACAGACGACTGGCGGTAGAACCACAGACGACTGGCAGCTGAAGCATGAACGGCTGACGGTTGAAGTACAGACGACTAACGGTGGAAGCGCAGACGTCTGACGGTTGAAGCATTGATGACTGGCAAGACTTGGCAGTTAAATAGGTCTTCTGTCGGTTGCAAAATGCTGTGGTAGTCTTGATCATCTTGCAGTTAATTCGGGAGTATCGAATTGTCTCCCCAACCGGAACTGGAATGGATACAATAAAAAATTAGCATGGCCCCATAAATGTTTCAAAGGTTGTACAGAATACAATGATTGCAGGTATAGCAAATGAATATTTGCAATTATGAGGGCACATTTAGATACTAACGCATGGCACTGGCGATCAGAGTAATAGTGGCTTGTGACCGGCTAATGAATAAATTCATATTATGACACCAAATGTGGATATTATCCTAACGTAAACTAGAAATGCCCCATTTAGCTGGATCTTTACATTATAGTCTCACAGCCAGTCTTTAGTCGCTGTGCATCATCAACGTATGAGTAGACATGACAAATTTTAGCTTCGACTAATCTCTGAGTAACGACAACCGAAACGAATACTCAATCGTTATGAGTGGAATATTTTCTCATACATGCAGCAATTTCAATAATCCTTATGATGGTGATGATGATAATGTCGTGCTCTGAGATGGAGTTAGTGCTACGAAACTAGGGCAGTGCTATATATCGACTTATACGTAGTTGGTTTTTCAACATTCATGAAATGTTAGGTAAATTTTACATATATGTACACTGAGCATTAACCGAAAGTTCTGATCACGACGATGTGAGTCCATCTTGAGCAGAGGAATATGTGTGAGCAGATTTATAAGTCAGGTAAAGTGCTTACATATAAAGTGAATAACAATTGCACTGGATATGTCCTTAAGGCACAAACCTTCTTGTTTAGAGCTTAAATATATTCTTCGGGCCACTTGTAAAAGAATTAAAATCTTCAAAGAAAACAGGTGCTAGAAACGTCGATATAATATCAATTTTTTTATTCTACCTATCGCAAAAATTATATTTTTGTGAGTCAGAGCAAGGAAACGAGTTGCTGAAAAAAATGTCCGCAAACGATATCGAAAATGTACCTAAGAAGTTTCTTCCGTGCGTCAGCGGTGACGGCTTCCGGCTTCCATCTTTCATGAAATTGAAGCCATGTTGATCGAGCAGATACTCTCTCTCACTCAATGTATGCACGTCATATATAATTCTGCGTGTAATGTGAGCATAATTGCGTGAACTGGTATCCTTAACTTAGGTGAGCGTATATGTAAGTAAGCGTGTCGAATTTCGCTGGTTCACATGAGCGTAAGTACGCGTGCTGAATTTGACCGAGCCATATGAGCGTAATTTGTGCAATAAATTCCCCATCCATGTGAGCAGAATTATTCGTGACGAATCCTGTTGAGTCATATGAGCCGAATCATGTATGCCGCATTCTGTTGAAATATTAGTGAGTTTGGTACCGAATACTGCCTAATCTTGCGAGCCTTAATTAATGTTGTTTCCGAGTCCTGCCGAGTCTTGTGAGCGACATGAATTAAACCAAATCATATTAGTCGAGTCATGTGACCGTAATTGCGTGTGCTGAATAATAATAGGCAAGTCATGTGAGTGGAATTGTGTGAGACAGAACAGATCATGTGAGCTGCATCGTCTGAGCTAAATTATGTGTACCTTATCAAAGACCCGTGACTATTTCTGAAGAGCTTTCTCAACTTGTGTCTTTTCTGTCATATTGTATGTTTTCAAGTAGATAAAGCGTCGTATAAATGATAATGCTACGAGAATGATAGCTATTCATTCCCGAAGCCTATATAGGAGCCGACATAGTAATTTCAATCTCTTGTATGGACAGATGAGGCCGAAGTGCGTAATTATACAAAGTGGGAATGGCATCAAAAAATTTTTAATCAACTTTCAAGGACTTTTTAACAATCTAATGTGCCTAAAGTTGTATCGATTATGAAGGTTATCTCTAATCGACAACCTGATGTTAATATTTTGGTATTAAGGTAATTTAAGGCCGTATAGCCTTGGAACCAATCAGATAGTCATTATACCACTTACCTTGTTAAACCGAAAAATCTCTTGCTCCTACAAGAGCTCTGTTAGTATACAATTTAGTGTCAAGATAAAAGCCTGGGTAATGCCAGCTGTTGGGTACAAGTACAACATGCATTGCATTATGCCGCAAAAATACACGATTATCACTCATGTCTTCTTGAGAAACTTTTACAGTGGGCAGAATGAAGAGAATAATCAACGGAGGCTCAAGAGTCCAAACTTCAGAATCAAAGTGCAGTATCATCATCAAACTTCAGCGTTCAGTCTCTAGTCAATTTCAGAGGTATATAATGACATAAACTCGACCATAGAATATCGTCGAAATCTTCGACTTAGAACTCCCACACTGTTTGAACGTTTGTATCCACCTGTCTAGCACGGATGTTCAAAAAAATTTTGTGGGTAGTAACTGGTATTATTGATAACAACAACTTCATTTCTCACTCACCACTCGGAAACTGACATCAGATTAGAAGGCCTCGCATCCTTACGTTTCGATTCACAAATCAGAGCCACGACAAAGTTTGTGGAGCACGAATCATTTTAAGATAATTTGTAGCCATGTTTCATGAATTACCTGCACCCAAAATTTTCAAGGATATCCACTTCTATCATGGAATGATTTATGAATAACTCATTTGCGTTACGATAATCAGAATTAAGGGCCACAATGCAACATGTACAAATTTTTTCATTCATGAAATTGCTTGCGATCATGTCCCTGGTTATTTAATGATTATTTAATGTAATATAAGAATTCAAAGGGGATTTCTTTTCAAAAAACGTCGGTCCCATGCAGGTGCAAGTGTCATATATAACACTTGTCACCGTTTTTTGTTTGTGTTTTTATTGTGAAAAATTGTGCTGCGCTTAATAACGAAGTTCAGTGTAAACCATTTAATCCTTCTGAATGCTGCTGTTATTATCATTGCTCATGTTACTTTTATCATGGTATCAGCAGCTGCTTCTGCTGCCATCCTATTTGCTGCCATTCTTGTTGCCGTCGCGGTTATCGAAGTGTTAATCATTGCTATAGCCGTTGTTGTTACAATTGGCTCGAATTATAAATATTACTAAGGGCGAACATTTTAAACTTTGTTTTCGGCTGATAAAAACACATTTAAAGATGAATGAATAAATGTATTTCACTATCTTAAAATTGTCAATCCTTGTGCATCATCATAATCGTGACATCATAGTTATAAGTAACAACAACAAAAAGTTGATGGAAAAACTAATGGAAAACTTTATACAAGCTACATAAAATGAACACAAAATAGAAATAGGACGATGAAGAAGTTGAAAATATCAATTTTCATGTCGAAAACGAAAAATTCAATGAAAAAATGACTCTGTTTAAAACATTGACTTGAAACTATAATCATTAAAAATATTTGCTCTGACATAGCGCTTGTGCCTGAAATTTGCTTCTCACTATCAAGCAATTCAAATAGGAAATAGTTCTGAAGATCCCAAAATTGAACATAGAATCGAATTCTGTAGGGTGAAAAAATACTTATCTTGAAAAACTGCGGGTAAACTTTACGACTCACCTGAAAAAATATTTTGTAAAATGTCAAAAGTTGAAGGAGCTAGGAGAATATGAGAATGGAATACCAAGTCTTTTTAATGGGCACGCACCAAAATTATCGCTTTTCCTACTCCTCTTTTGACAATTTAACCGAATCTGGTGAGGTGGCGTAAATTTACTAACCAACGATTTTGATCACCATCCATTTTCGAATGCTGGTAATTTGTAGCAGCTGCAGAGCGTAGTTAGTCGTATTTGTGAATTCAATTTTTACTGTATTTAACCACAAACATATTTCTGATTGAAACTTTATGGCCAATGATCGAGCGACGGAATTTTTCTTAACATTAAATCGGGTAGGGGCAAGAGAAAAATAGCAGCTGTGCTGTAACGATTCCTATATAAAGCAAATCATCTCCTCGTCAGGGGGTCTCTCACGCTGTATTCTGCGAAGTAAAGAGAGCTTGTGACCAATCAAGGCCATGATGTCAAAATTCAGGCAGCGGCTGCTGTTCGCTGCTCTATTTGTCTTTGCATGCAGTCCTGAAGTTAACGGTGAGATATTGAAATTAAAAAAATGATTGAACAATGTGAAACGCATCTACGGATTGAATGAAAATACTGAAAAACATGGTGATTTACATAATCAGATAACAGTTACCGAAGTGCGATGGATTCCATGGAATGTAGTAGAATTAATATATTGAAATTGGAACCATTCATCTCAGCAGTGGAAACTAGTGCTCACATTTGCACTGTTTTAATTACACTATCTATAGATGGGATATTTTTTCAGGCCACTGCTGGGAGCGAACTTATGATCAAGACAGCTTCGTGTGTTTCTGCAACGCCACCTGCTGCGACGAGCCCGGCATCTTGGCCGCCCCAGAGGCCGGCACCTTCGCCCACTACGTCTCTGACAGAGCAGAGTTCAGGATAGAAGCTTTTACTGGACCCATCGAAGATGCCGCGGGTAAAATTTTAGTTTCAACATGCATAACACTATCACGACCTCTTACGGGAACAATTATGATTCTGGAGTCCAGTGCCCTGTACCTTTCCAAAGTCTTTCGAATTAGCAGCCTCTCAGGCGTTTGTGTATATGTCACAGGGAAATCGAGATTAATTTTTTTCCATGTCTCGATCTCTAACGTTCTATTGTATATACGACTGCATGATAAACATAGACCTGTGTTTAGCTCCCTCCTCTCACTCCGTCCTCATGCCTTTTCCTCACGTTCCGAACCCACCAGGCCAGTCCCAGAGGAATAGGGGCACCAACCCCCTTCGCGAACTATTTATCATCCCAGCTATGTTTCTTTATCGGCACCCAATCACCAAACCGCTTCACATGACCGCTCAAAGTTCAGACCTGTAGAATCCAACTCAATAATTTACTTCAGGTCACCGATTGGTCGATCCAAAATTTTACACACAACTTTCAAACAACACACACACAACTTTCCTTCACACACAACTTTCAAACAACAAACAATGTCCCACTAATTTGACTGAATGATGCTGCTCATGGCTTTCGCGCCGTAATAGATGACAATGACATTGCTGTTGTTGGAAAAATTGACGCTAATGCAAGTGACTGAAACATTTCGAAAAATTAATCTGACACCCATTATAAGCCACGACCTTCGAGCAAAATAGATCATTCTTGTACGCCAACTAGGCAGGGACTTGGGAAGCGCCACTGCCGACGAATCAAAACATGATATCCAGGCAGCGAAATTAACTGCATTGGGCATATACATTACGATCAAATTCAAGCCCTACGCACACGTCATAAAAATCATAACCTGAGGCACCGCAATGGCCCAACGCAAATGCCTTTTTCCTCGTACTACTCTAAAATCACAACTTCACAATACGAACAGGAACAGTGCACACACGTATGCTACAAAATAGAAGATCAGCCACACTAATTCACTCCTTCCACTCCGTCTTGCTCCGAATGTGCTGCCAAACACCACAACACTAAATGCACATAATTAACATTATTTTCAAATAATATTTTAAATGCACATAGGGTATATATTAAATCACTATAAACATTGAACTCCTCACTCCCTGTATAAACAAATATAGCCTGACGGGTTCCCACCCACTTCAATCCCAATACAACCGCAAAACCACATCTTTTCGTCTTTACTGTTTCTCCTACCACAATCTAGCCAACACTGTGCCACTCATTTCTTCCCGCTATTTCTTAGTAGCACCGCGCACACACAACGATTAGGGAATTTAAATTTTCAGTTGAATTGACTGTTTTGATCGTGTGCGTAAGTGTCTTTGGTCATGGCAAGAAAGAAAATATTGAATGCATCAAAACCTCAACAGGGTCTGCCCCGGCATCGGTGGCCGTAGACACGACACAAACTTACCAGACCATCCTTGGCTTCGGAGGTGCCTACACAGACGCAGCTGGGGAGAACTTCAACTCTCTCTCGCCGGAGACCAAAGAATGGCTTAATAGGTCAGGAACATGATTCATAGAAGAAACTACCACATAATATACAGTTAATTATAATTTATTTTCTATATTTATATTGACAATGGTTTACTCTGAACCCGAAATTACTGTCATACACCATATGAACTTGCAAGGTTTCTAACTCAGCGTTAAATGTCATCTAGAAACCCGTCATGTTGTGATATTTTGTTTATTACTCGGGTTAACTCAACATCCTGCCAGCTGCTAAAGCATTTTCCCGAAACGAAGAAATTCATTGTTAATGTTTTACTCAGTAGTAAATTATTTTAGCTGGAACATAAGAGAAATCTATTTTCGAGTAATTTAACATGCAGAGCCTACTGGTCGTCAGAAGGGAACGAATACAATATCATTCGAATTACCATCGGCGGAAGTGATTGCTCATCTCGCCCGTACACGTTAGACGACGTTGAAGGAGACGTCGAACTTGTTCACTGGTCCCTTCAGCCCGAAGACTACAACTACAAGGCAAGAATTTCATAGTTATCTCCACGGCTGAAGAATAATATGTCTTCTAGGGAGCGAATTGCCATGATTCATCTAGGAATCTCGAAAATTCAGATGTTTACTTCGAGAAGGGATTGGTAGTAGAACAATACCTAAATTTGAATCTCTTCTTACAAAACATACAATATAAACAATAAATGACAAAGAGTGTTTTTGATCAACTTATATTACGTTTTTAAAATTTGGTGTAAAAGGCAGAGTGGCCGAGGCGAAATTCCGGCCAAAGTAGGCAAACATACAATCGCAAAGAAATCGTAATAAATATGTTTTTCACAGATTCCTAACGTAAAAGAAGCTATCCGCATGAGTAACGAGGAAGTTTTGGTCTTCGGTTCCCCCTGGTCGCCACCAGCGTGGATGAAGAGCAATAACATGCTCAACGGAACCGGCTATCTCTTGAGGGAGAACTGGCAGCCCTACGCCAATTACATCGTCAAGTGAGGAAACTCGCACCGTTGAAGCAAATTTCTATCATATTGAGTATTCCTATATCGGGAAAACCAATATTTCAGATAGGAATTTATCTGAAATTATTGCAACGTTTATCAAGTGGTATTCCACTTTTTACAAATATTTTTCCTTTCTTAGATGGGCTCAAGCCTACCAGAGGGAAGGCATACCATTATGGGGGCTCACTCCTCAGAATGAGCCTCTCGACCAGCAAGAGGTAAGAGGAAATCTTCACCCACAAGTTTTTTCGCAAAATCACAATATCCATTTAACAGTACCGTTTTCACTATTAAAATTTCCATGATACTTCTAAATTTGAAATTCTATACTTCCACACAAATAAAATTAAGGGTAGCGCATCGATGATTATAGGTGGCGATAGTATATTATAGGTGGCGATAGTATATTATAGGGGGCGTGACATGGGTGGCCAGACCTGCCAAAAATCTACAACAAAACACTAATAAATAGAGAGAGTGGCGAGTATATAGGTGGCAGTCATCGATGAATCATCGATGATTTATATGGTCGAAACCATCTATGGCGCATTGCTGGCAAATCTCTAGTCAGCCGCCGATAACAGTTTGGCTCAAGTCAACAGGGCACGAAGGAATTTGTCCCCGTAATTTATTCAACGTAGGAAGGTGTTGCTGCTTACTGGGTTGCAGTACATTCGAGATCATGACGAAACCTTGACTTATTTCTATGCGCTTGGCTGTTAAGATTTCCATGCAAGGAAATTTAACGAAAATTTAGCACGAATTCAGTAAGTACGTGTAAAACAGAGAAAAGCGAGGCGTTCACAAATTTTTCATACCAAAGTGAAGCCCGGCCTGGGCATGTATCAGACCGCTCCTGATAAAAATTATCCGATGAATGAAAAATTTTCTGCATAAAGTAAAACTTCTCCAAAGATGATGGCGAATCCTATTTTTCAAGTTCCGCGATATATTGCGTAAATTTATTTCGAATTTTGCGTATGCTCCAACTTACTGTGCGGGAAATATTATGATCAATTGAGACTATTTAATGTATCATTAAGTAGAAAGTGTATGGATCAATTAAGTGTGTTTCCAAATATTTATAATATTCTTAAGCTGCCGCATTGATCCAATTTGAGCCAGCAATGTGACATCGTCGACAGTGGCTCGGCATCTCTAGCGCGCAGCGAGCGAGCAAGTACACGTCACGTTGATACCTGTTGGGGTTGGGTTGGCGCAGTTTGGGTTGGCGCGCGTTGAGTTTCTTTCCTACTTATCTTTAACGGGTACGCAGCCGTGCACCACTAAATTTGTGCACCAATCAACCTTGAAAGGAACGCCTAGCATATTTCCGGATGACCACCAATCAGCCGCGGATTAAGCCATCCGTCGGTAACCAGCCCGTGAAATCATCTTGCTTTAAATATTAGGAGCTTTACGCCACCACATTCTGAAGCGAATAGCCCAGAGAGTAATGGTTATGCACCACTGAACGTTGCATCGAATCATCACTTCATACCCTGACTTTAGCTCGAACTGTAACTTGCTGACAACGGACTGCGACCAACCAGCCCAGGTCGCCAGTGGAACTGCATGCATCCTGCCGTGCACCGCCAGACCGTCACTTTTAGCTCAACATCCGGGGTTAGATTTCAGAAAGCATAGTTCTGTTCTAAACTCTATCGTCCGCCGGCGAGTGACTTCCGCAGCATCGCTAAATTACGTAAATTTTAGCTCACAGCATCTGGGGTTAGGTTCCAGCTAGCATAGTTCTTTTACAAAATTTATCGTAGTACGACGCGTGGCCGTTCGGCCGCGGGCTGATTCGACACACGGGACAAAAGCGGACGGCTCCGGCTGCGCCGGGTGGTGTAAAATTTTTTCGCGCGTTGGCAGACGACGCTGGGCCATACGACGCCAGGCTTATTTTCTTGTGGGCTTATTGATCTAATTTAATTGATGTGATCTGTCTGGTGGCGTGCGGCTGATAATGTTACAGTCAAGATGTGTTGTAGGCTACGTTCTTCAGGGAAGGGATCATGATAGTCCATTCGAAGCACGGCAGTGGTGGTCTCCGACAGGCGTCCCATCTTTAACATGTAATGCTTGAAATGTGTGCCTTACGGGTAATTTCTTTGTCAAAAAAGTATCCTCTTTACGCTAAGGGATACGAGTAAATATTCGGTTTTATATCGCTGACTTCGATAGTGAAATTTAATTATTTAGGGAAAATTTGCTGTACCGTCATATGATTGTTGTGAATTAAAGTCTAAGTTTCCAATAAAGTGGTCTCTGTATCTTCCTATGCAAAAAAATAAAGATTGACCCAGAGAAAAATAGAAAATGGTGACACGAAGTGATGAAGGTATTTCACGCCTAACATTTCAAAATCATCGAGTTATATCAGTTCCTTAATTGTCTCGCGCAAGAATATTCTTGGTGAAACTATTGGTGCAATGCTCACATTATGAAACTTCGATACTTATTAAGCATTTTACCGTAACCTTTACTCTGAGCTGAATTATCATTCGTTATGGAAAAGGAAGTTTTAATTAAGTATATCGTAATGACTCGAGTGCCAAGTTCTCTCCGATGGCTCAATAGTATAGGCTTGGCTTCGAGGGAGGGAGATCGGAGATGGAATCCTGCAGGCAGGGACTTTACTTCAAGTCGAATTCTCATGAGGTATTTGCATGGTACTCCAATTATTTCTTCCTGCTACATGCCTGAGGTTGTTGCTCGTACTGCCATGGTGGATTTGCATACGTAGCCCTCGTAATGGTGATTGGAAGGAGTATCATTAAATATAAATGCATTGGATCTGAAAATAAAGGGAAATTTTTCATCGATTTCGTTTTGAAGGTTATCATCGGTGGCTCATCGATGCGCGACCAATGGGTAGTTATTGGTGGAAGAAAAGTTTCTCGGGTTGGGTGGTCATCGCCAGGTTATAGGTTGAACATAGGCCGGACACGCCATCGATGCAGCATCGATGCGCCATCGGTGGTCCACCTGTAATATCCACCTATAACCACCAATGATCATCGATGCTCCACCAATACTTTTTATTTGGGAAACAGGCAGACTAGGCTAGAAAATTTTTGAAGGATAAAAAGGCGTGTGACAGTTTGGAAAATAAAATACATACATTAATAATTTGCCAGTAGCATGTAGGTAATTCATTGACACCTCAGCTTTTTTCGTAGAAAAATAAACCTGTGTCGTTCTTTAAAAATTGTATAGTGTGAGTCGATCAAAAGGTAATTGGCGCTTGAAAAATGCTGCGCTTTAGCATAGGCATACATTGTTTTAATCCCAATCTTACGTAAATTTACGTTTAAATTGACACTTTCGACCCGCGCTAACAACAGGAATGGGTGATAAACGCATGCCGGTGGTACCCCGACGAGATGCGAGATTGGATCAGGGACTACCTGGGACCAAGTCTCGTCGCTGCCGGTTTTGGCGGACTCAAGATGATGAATGATGACTTCAACAGGGAGACTCTGCCTTATTACGTCGAGCCAGTAATTTCATTTCAATGTCCACAGTTGTATTGGCATAACTTTTTGTCTTCAAGAATCATTATTATTTTCTGACGATAAATGCATAGGCCGTCATTCACCAATGAACTTTTCATTCACCAATGAAATTTTCCGCGTTTTGCTTTTATCTTTAAATTCCATTTATATTATAAATTTTACATTTAAAACTAAGTATTAATGCCGAAGATAATAGTGGAAGAATCGATCATTCCATCATTTTTTTCCGGAAACAGTCCACAGTTAGAGCGTTTTACTCTACTTCTCGACGCAGTGCTTTGCTGACCCCGACTGCAGCAAGTTTGTGGATGGTGTCGCCGTTCACTGGTACTCGGACGACTTTTATCCTCCGGAGCTGCTCTTGGAGACCAGGGACTTGGACCCGTCCAAATTTCTTCTCTACACCGAAGCTTCAAACCGTAAATTTTATGTAGAAAGCTCAAAGATAAATATAAGGGTATTCGTCTAGCCATTCTTGTCCCTTGAATCGATCTTGATTTTTGCTCTGTCATTTAACGAGAATAGACCGTTTAGTAGTAAGCTCTTTGCTTTTTGATAAGAAGGCGAAGGAGTAGTTGCTAAAAGAAAATCATACGCATTATGAAGGCTTCGGACATGCAATAAATGACATTTAATTTGAATTGAGCAGCTGCAGTCAGGGGCCCTGACGGATTATACGCTCCTCTCGGAAACTGGGAACGCGGCGAACACTACCTCCGCAACATCATCGAGGTGAGACACTACGGAAGCTGGTCAAACTACCCAAGTGACCCTCATTAGTGCAGTGATTAATTACGATAATTTTTGTTTAGTGTGCACAAACATTTAAACGATTTTAAGTGGGATGTAGAAATATTTATTGCTAAACTGATTCTTTTACTTACTGTAAAAGAATCAATGATGTATTTATTCCAATGTGCAAGGCAGTTTTGATAGCATGAAGATGTTGAAAATAGTGATATAATTTATTTTTTCACAATTTCATCCATTGATGCCAAAAACTTCAAATCTATTAGAAAAATAATAGTGATATGTTGATGGAGTGACTCAGCAATATATTTGAAAAAATGCAGGCCTTAAACTATTATTCGGTGGGCTGGGTGGACTGGAACTTGGCCCTGGATGTATACGGAACCCCGCAGTGGATCGGAGATCATCTCGACGCAGCTGTCATCGTCAACGCTGTGAGTTTCATTAAATTTTTAAACAGCTCCCTTCATCGCGACCTGCATAAATATTTCAGTGGATGAATTCAATGCCAAAGGCTGATCTGTTGCTTACTGCATGCAGCACTAACACAAGTTTATATTCGATAGGTAAATTTAATAATTCAAAGTAATTTTTGTTCACAGTTATTCGAAAAGAATTCAAGGCATTCTTATGATCATTTGCCCCATCCACTAGAATATTCATTGAAATAAAACGCGCTATGCCTCTAATAACCACGGATACAGCAGGTATTCCTAGGCACAGGATTAAAGTATATTGGCGGTATTATGAATGGATGACTGGCCGGTTTTTTGCCTGAACAGACCGCTGACGAGTTCTACAAGCAGCCGATGTTCTACGCGCTGGCGCACGTGAGCAAGTTCTTCAAGCGCGGAGACGTGCGCGTCGACGCCATCCCCACATTGGACACGATCAAGGCCGCTGCCGTGCTGAAAGACGATGGCACTGTGGCAGTGGTTGTGCTCAACATGTATGTTCAGCATTAATGTTTATGCAACATAGGGCACAATAATTTCTGCTGCCTCCTGACATTTAAAATTCCAGTGGTTATATTAGATGGTCTCAGACTAGGACCTAGGCAAATAGGCAAATGTTTCCTTCATGTATGTTGTTCATGTAGTTCCTATCATCTACTGTTGCAGAAGGCTAGAACATATAACTTGTTCACATTTACTCATAAAATTTATCAATTTTGATAGTTAGAGATACGGGAAAAATTCAAGCCCAGGTAGAAAATTTATTTAATTCGTATATATATATCATGAAGACGAAACCATTTCTACCATGGATTTTGTCACCGCTCAAATGGTACCATTATTAAAAATAGCCTACTTTCCCCAAGGTTCCGCAATGTCATTTTCTTCATCTAGTTTATACCGATTGTTCTTCGTTCACAGCTTCAAAGTCGCATATTTTTTTATAATTGTTAATTTTCATGACAGGCTTCGATATTTTGGTCACTTCTTAGTTCTTCTGGTTGAATTTTCATCCATAAAAATTTTCTTCTATTTTGTCCATCAGGGCGGAAGAACCCACCGGCCTGAGCATCTCTGTTGACGGGACTCGCTTCATTAACGTGGACCTCGAGGCTAAAAGCTTCAACAGTTTTCTCGTACCCCCAGCATGAAAACCGGTTGATAAGCTTCAACATAGCTACACAAACACTCAATAAAAATATTTTATTATTTTCTTTAATCATTTAATTATTATGTTTGATTACATTAGCCTCTGATATATAAAAATAACCGCGAAGCTCAATTTTACGTCTGAATGCAACCAAATACTTAAATTGAGACCTAATTTCGAGCAAGAATCCTTCCTTACGTGGAGTTCTTGAACAGAACTGTAATTTTACCGAAAGAATGATTAGACGTTTTGCTTGATGATGATGCACACATACATACATGATGCACACATTTTACTAAACGGAAAGTTAATATCAGGACAAGGGTAGCGCCTCGGTTTTATGTCACACATAGTTAGTGGATACCAATATGTTTCATGCAGGCTGGACGAGTGAATAAATTAGTGCTTCTGTGGCGGCGTTTCGTTCTGATTTGCCGAACAAAGCGAGAGCTTAGAGCTCTCGCTTTGACCCCAATAAAATAGGAGCCTAGTCAGCCTCCAATGTATTTTTGACGACCTCAAAACTTGCCACCTCACTTCCCTATGCAGTGAAAGAAAGAGAAGAGCATCAGAATGTTTTCGCTGCATAAATGCTACCAAGAGCTACCTGCTACTTTGTACGAGCCTATGAACGAAGAATATGTAAGAGGCACACAGTCTTGATGCACGGAATCAAGCTCTCGCACTGCAAATGCAGTGCGTGGTGAGGAACGTATGACAATTTCTTACGTTCCATATTCTAGCGATTATGTATAAAACTTTTACACATATTTCGACGGAAATTATAAATCAAGGCCCTGCCAAATTTCTTATCCAGACAATCTCCTTCATTTTCAACCCAATTCCCTCATGCCCTCTTGCATGCATTTCGTTATATCTCAGGAATAATTTGCATTACGTTTCTATATCAGAAATAAATTGTTCAATACATGACCAACCATCTGTCAGTAGGACATGATGTTGTGAGGTGTTGAGTTTGGCGAAAAGCATAATGTCGCGTTTTATCGAGTCTGGGTAATATCAAGCCGATATAGAATGGTTACATGTGTTTATCAAGAAATGTATCATATTTTGGAGGTGATTTTTGAGCTGAAGGGTTGTGATGCCGCAGTCAGGTCCGGTACTTTCCGTTGGGAAGTCTACAAGTACAGGTGATGAGGTGTTTCCTCCAACAATGAGGTGTTTTTTCAAATATTCTAAAAACTACAAACGAAGAAACAAAACTATAAAAAATATAGCGAAATCATATTTGGAGCAATAATCATCGGAAAATAAACTGAAAATTTCCATCACAGATAGAATCGTGCAGGAGATGCTCATTGGTGATTTATTATGCGGTGACGGGTATATCCGCGACCTCCACTTTTAAAATCAATTGAATATGCAAACAAAAAAAATTGTCTGGCTGAACGTGTAGATTTCCCGAGCCTACAATTGTATGACTTCAGGCATGATACTGCATGGCAGGTACTAGACTACTGCATAATGACCATCCCTCCGCTCGTAAGCTTCGAATTTAACTCTTAAATTTACCAGAGACCAATGCTCAGCCTCACACAGCATCAATTCCGCCCAGTGAGTGCATGTGTGCGGTGCCTCTAGGACAGTGAGGAAAAAAAGAAAGAAAGGTTGCACAGTTTGGCCCGAAAGAAGAAAAATAAACGGAAGAGAATAAATAGTTTCTATGCTCTTTTAAGTTTCAGAAATGAATTTGAAATTGATTTGGATGGTTCTCACGGGGGAATGAGGGGTGAATATTTATTGTTGTTCAATAATTTCAAAATATACTGTGCATTGAATTGAACAAGTCTATTTTAAAATAATAAAGATGGTTAGTACTCTTTTAATGTATTTGCTTTATTTTTTTAGTTGTTATTGTTTTGTTTCTCCTCTCTGGAATACCTAGTGTAATATGATGATTAAGATGAAGACGACAATGATGATGATGAAGGTGGTGAGTTACACAAGAGGTATATGGTAGGTTAGGTTGATACTGCAGTTGTGGGTTTAAGATACCGTTTGCAGGGATAAGATTGGTCTTTGATATATCATTGGCCCATAGTTAGAAAAAGGTTCGTTGTGCTGTAGAGTGATCATGTGATACGTTATCGTGTTACCATGTGATATGCATTGCATGGTTTATTCGAGGGAAGATATACGCGATTTTTGGTTCATTATTTGCTTATTCGAGCACTATTAAAAACTAAAAATTATATGTACCTGCTCTATATATCACTTTTTATTAGAATAATGATATGATGGGAGGGACGATGATGATGGTGAAGGTGAAGTAGGTGAGTGAGTCGATCGATACTCAAAAGTAAGTTTAGGTAATCTGTTAGATTAATTGGCATCAGTCTCATCTCTACCTTAAGTCATTTTAAGTGAATTTCGTCAACCCGTAAAACCTCGTAGACTCATATTACGAGGTTTCATGGAAATATTATACTGCCATGGAAGCGAACGGCAAAATCATTCCCTTTCACCTCTAAAAAAGATTACAGCTCTGAATGTAGCTCTTCTCGAGGCAAAACGAAAAATTAGCTAAAAGTATTTTATCAGCAGTACTGGGGCAAGGCAATAAATACCAAATACTACTGGATATTTATCACGCATCGCTGTCATCTGAATGACGAGTGAAGTCCGAAAACGGAAAGATAATCACTGATACTTAATAAATGTGTTTCGTCGCGTGGGAAATGAACACGTGTGATGAAATTATCGAATACAAGAGCGAGGCAACATGCTCACCTAAGAGGCCGGAGTTGAAGGTCGAGCAGACGGCAAATTGACACCATGGCGGCATCACCAGGGCAGATGTTAATAATCGTGAGCATCGTTCTCTTCGGCTTCACTGGCTCAGGCAACGGTAAAACTCATCCGATAAACTAGCTCAAACACCTTTTAGACAAATAGATGGAGATATGCTATTATATAGATTTTGACAAATATACGAACACAAATAATTATTATCGCCAAGATTACGCTGTGATAGCTGAATGCAATGCTTTAAGGAAGTAAATTGCAAATTAGCCTGGATTGCACCAACGACATGTGTGACAGAGCATGAAGCAAAATTTTCAACTTTCTGCAAGAAATCAGTGTGTCTTCATTGAATCTGCTCTTTTTTCCTCACGCGTTCCAGATATTAATTTCAACTTTATACATGCTGAAATATTTCGCTAAAATGATTGTTATACAATGCAAATACTCGGATCTTACGGTTCAGGCCAATGTTGGGAGAGAAGGTACGACCGCGACAGCTTCGTGTGCCTCTGTAATGCTACGTTCTGCGACGAGCCCGGCATCTTGGCCGCCCCAGAGGCCGGCACCTTCGACCAATATGTCTCCGGCCGAGCACAGTACAGGATGGAAAAATTTACTGGAATCATCGATGCTGCAGGTTAGATTTGAAAACTCTAATGCTCTGCTTATTTAAAATTCATTACAAGTTCGATAAAACTTAAAATTCAAACACAGTGGAATCACTCTGGTTAAAACGCGGGCAGGATCTGCACCGGCATCTGTCAACGTGGACACGACGCAAACGTACCAGACCATCCTGGGCTTCGGCGGTGCCTTCACTGACGCCGCTGGACAGAACTTCAACTCCCTCTCTCCCGCCACCAAGGAGTGGCTATTGAGGTTAAAATCTCAAATCTGTTATGTGTGTTCAAATTGGAATTGAAACTAAAAAATTAACATTAAAGTTTTTATTAAGAATCAGTTTTTAGTTAAGATTCGTGATATTATAATAGCTTGGGCAGTGAAGAAATAGGGTGCTTTTTCAGTTTGCACTTTTTCAGGTCACAACAAGCGTTGTTTTTAAATCACTCGAAGTGAAATGAGCAGACAAGTGACATATGTCAAAGTTTTCCATTCAAACGATGCAGATGAATTGAATCAATTGCAGGGCTTATTGGTCGCCAGAGGGTAACGAGTACTCCGTCGCCCGCGTGCCCATCGGGTGTTCAGATTTTTCTCCCCGTCCGTATTCCCTTGACGACTTTGAGGATGATGTAGAACTCATCCAATGGTCTCTGCAGCCTGAAGATTACAACTACAAGGTGAAAAATTAATTTCATTCTGAAAATTACGATTTAAGTGAAGTCAGAAATCTATATTCATTTCATTTCCACGCTAAAACTGAATTACAATCAGAATTTTTATGAGATTGTTATAGAATCATTCAATGTTTTTACCTCTATGATTTATTCATATCAGATTCCCAACATAAAGCAAGCGATGCAACTGTCTAACGATGACGTACTCATCTTCGGCTCCCCTTGGTCACCACCAGCGTGGATGAAAAGTAACAAAAATATCAACGGGACTGGCTACGTCTTACGCGAATACTGGCAGATCTACGCAAACTACATCGTCAAGTAAAGAAACTAACATATTGTTGAAATCATTGACTTAATACTCGCAGCGACCTTTCCTCGAGTTTAATCTTAACTTGGTGGCAGGTGGGCCGCTGCCTACGAGTCCGAGGGCGTTCCCTTGTGGGGCCTCACTCCTCAGAATGAGCCGCTGGACCAAGAAGTGGTGAGAAGAAAAAAAGTTATTGCGTCAATATTACCTACTATCATGAAGTCATGAATCTTATTACGTGTTAATTTAGTAGGCCTAATGAATAATATGAGTTTGTATCCAATGTATATAAGATGATTCATTTATAATAAAAAATGTTTTTGGACACGAAGAGAGATCCATAGGCGCACGTCTTCTAGGTTGGTCATTGTAAAATGTTTTTAACTTATTTTAATATTTAGGATTGGGGCGGTCCCACGTGCCGCTGGCACCCAGAAGAGATGAGAGAATGGATCAGAGACTACTTGGGACCAAGCCTTGTGGCTGCTGGATTCGACAGGCTCAAGTTGATGGCCGATGACTTCAACCGCTACACTTTGCCGTACTATGTTGAACCTGTGAGTTGGTTGAGCCTGGATTATTGTAAAACGAAAATTGTTCGCTAATGCTGAGACAATGAAAATGCTGTAGGCTGTAAACTATCAAGACATCAGAAAACTCGGTAATCGATTCTTTGCTATACATGAGGATTCTTAAAGACCATATAACTTCAAAGCACGTCCGGCAATCACATTGATTTTTTAGCCCTTTAATGACAAAAAAATTGTAATATTTAAATAGATAATTCAACAAGTTTCCATTGAGTAACACGAAACTCGCTTCCGCTCTTTGAGATGTCATAACAAACAAATAAAACTGTGACAATTAATTCTTTGATAAAAACTGATTTTAATTCCGATGTTGTTCAAGTGTTTTACAGACCCCGAATGCAGCAAATACGTGGATGGCGTGGCTGTGCACTGGTATGCAGACGACACCGAGCCTCCAGAGAACCTCTTACAGACTAGGGAATTGGACACTTCTAAGTTCATTCTGTACACAGAGGCTTGCAATGGTACGCATTTATGAAGTTATGTAGAATTTAATATATTATACTTTACAGACACTGTCTTTAAACTTTACTTTACACTGCCTTTTTTTCGTTTAACAGGTTTGAGGGTGTCACACGCAGACGCTGTACAACTCGGGGACTGGACGCGCGGTGAGCGCTATCTTCTCAATATTCTAGAGGTATACATGGCAGCAGATCTCATGTCGAACCAATTCAGTTTAAACACTACTCGAGAATTATCAAATAAAGCACTTAATGTATTTTTCAGAATGCTTTCCTCAAAAATTTATTATGAATTAGATTTCTTCTAGTCTAAATTATACAAATAAATATGTCTAAATAAAACTTTTGTCCCTAATGGAATCAGGACATCAACTACTACTCTGTAGGATGGGTGGACTGGAACATGGCCTTAACAACCTACGGAGGCTTTAGCTGGGTCGATGGAACTTTGGATGCACCAATCATCGTTAATGCGGTGCGAGTTCAATTAATGAGTAATTTGCTGAAACGCTAGCACAGGAATGTTCGAAAACAGGACTATGTTCAATTTATGAGTAGAGCATTAACCAAACTAAGACATTGAGATCCCTGAGTTATCAGTTACCTGAGGTTAGTTCTGCATGGGTACCTCGATCCTTCTATCATGCTGATGCATTACCGGCTTTGCCTGCGGGTGCTTCATACAAAGTGTCACTCAGCTAAGTTTAGGATGACTCAGCTCGGCTGAGTCATCGATGACTTGTGGACTCAGCTAAGTCCCGGTTGATTCGTGACTCAGTCACGAGATGTGTACAGCTCAGTCCCATGACTTGGTTGTGCACATGTTGCTGGTCCGTTTAATGATCTGATGGAATTAAAATTGTTAGGAACAGTTTTCGACTTGCAATGATGAGATGCAGCATTGTGTTGTAACCAGACTGCCGACGAGTTCTACAAGCAGCCTATGTTCTACGCCATCGCACACGTGAGCAAGTTCTTCAAGCGCGGAGACGTGCGCGTCGACGCCATCCCCACATTGGACACGATCAAGGCCGCTGCCGTGACCAAGCCCGACGGTTCAGTCGCAGTCGTCGTCATCAACTTGTCAGTTGATTGATTCGCTATTTTCGTGACTTTCTTGCAATCATAGACCAATAAATTTGAAAGGTTTGATATTGTCATTTAATGGTGTTCTGTGTCATTTAAAAGTTTCAGAAGGTGGGCTAGTTTATTTTTGCATTGCACAATACACAAACAATATTCTCGCACCTTTATATTCAATCTTGATTTTCTTTCCAAGAACTTCATTGCTGATCTACTTTCAGGGCGGAAGACTTCCAGGGCATCAGCATCTCGGTAGACGGGACGCGCTTCATCAACACAGTCCTCGCATCTAAAAGCTTCAACAGCTTTATTGTACCTCCTGAGTGAATGTTTGATTTCACGTGCCGCCGCTAAATACTACACATTTGGAATAAAGATGAACCAAATATTGTTGTAATAATTTTGTGCATAGGCCGATCCAGTTATTCTCTTTCGTTTTCTACAATTGTGTTTTAGAAGATCCAGTATTAAATTAAAAGTTTGTTATTTAAAAAATACATATGCATCACAAGCAATTTAAAGCAGATTTCTGAACTTTAATTTTATGTTTTTAGCATCAGCAATAATACTTATTTCATTGAAGCAGCAAATACCCGATAGAATGAAACAGTTTTTCGTTCAACCGAGGCACTATATACAGATAAGTAGCACAGATAAATTGAGAGAGGTTGAACTGGAATGATGTAATTAAGGCACATGCAAGCATGAAGGTCAAAACGTAACAAATATCTAGGATATTCTTATATCTTGTGTATCTTTCCCCACCAATCAGCAAACCACATATACGTACTTCGTTATTCTATTTTGCTTTTTAACATCCAAAGTACTTTAACATCGACTCGTGACTTTTGTCAATAATCGTACAATTATTTGCACTGCAAAAATGCTTCCGTAAGGCAAATTTATTTATTTTAAATTTGTGATTAAAACAAAGTACATCGGGGGCACGGCGAAAAGTTTTAAGAAATTTTTTTCACTAAGTGCTATTGTATCCTAGACAGATTGAGTAATGGAGGAAAATATTTTTTGGTTTTCCAGTTAAGCTTAAACGTCAAATATCCTAGCATAAAAGCTCGTACGAATATCATACCCTTGACTAGATAAAATGAGCGAGAGCAATATTTATCTTCAGATCAGCTAAAACGAACGACTTGCAGAAAATCAACGTACAACTTCGTAGTTAGAAGAACCGTTTCAGACGAAAAATAGTCAAGAACATTGTTTACTAATGCTACATTGAATGCTGAACGCACTATAACATCTGCGAAACAAGAAATTACGATGCATCGTAGCTGGGAGCTCTATCCGATCCAGTTCGCTGTCCCAGATATAAAGGAATAAAAATTTCTATTATTTTGTATCGTAGAAGTAACAACGTACTACAAATCATGCGTTTGAAGCAAAGACTTTTACGTGTAAAAGCAAGGTCTTATAATGAAGACTGAACATGCAGATGTAAAATAATGTAAACAAACTCTAAAGCAGAAATATGTAGGTTAGCAAGTGGTAGATAATTTCAGGAGGTCAAACGGGCTTAGATGCTACCCATGGTTATTTTTTACCCAGAGGTTTTCGATGTGAATTAAGCTTCGGGATCAAGATGGGGCCTACATTGTTCGGTCTGCTTTGACGTTCCTCCCGTTAGCGTAAAAACCGAAATCTCGATTGCCATCTCGTACCCTTACCCTTGGTTATGGTACCAAATTACAGAAACCATATTTTACTGCCATATTTTCGTAAAATTCTGCTATCTAGTTAGATGAAATGAACAGTTAGTCTTCTGAGCAGATGATATGTCGTCTAATTATCTTATGAATGGATAAATTAAATCATGGAATGAGAGCATCAAAATAAAATACAAATACAGCTCATACATCATTAGAAGTTAAAAGATCGGCTGTTCAGTTTAGGGTCGTGGGAAGAAAAACATGCGGTGAGATGAGCGTATGCAGCACGCTGAACAACTACACTCCTGGGTGATAGTTTTCGGTGCATGAGTAGGCAGACGTGAGATAGAAGCCATGGCGCCAACACTGAAGCACTTCTTGGCGGTAATAAGCATTACGCTGGTCTACACGCTTCCAGCTTCCGGTAAGCGAAAATTCTCATTCACTCTTTCTCTGAAAAGTTCATGCTATCAGGTGACATAAATTTAGTGAAATTCATGTGATCATAAAAATAGATCATTTCAAGCACTTGAGTGGGTTAAGAGGTGATTTAGAAAACCAAATGATGGCATATGAAGTGTATGTAAATACGAATCACTATATAAATTATTACTAAAGCACATTACTGAAGTTTTTGCTCGATTCCATTGTTATTTTTGGGTTGTTCAACCCACAATCACTCGGTTATCCATTGTAAATATACAAAAGTCCTTCACACGAAGGCCACTGTTGGGAGAGGAGGTACGACCGCGACAGCTTCGTGTGTCCCTGCAACGCCACCTGCTGCGACGAGCCCGGCATCTTGGCCGCCCCAGAGGCCGGCACCTTCGCCCACTACGTCTCTGACAGAGCAGAGTTCAGGATAGAAGCTTTCAGTGGACCCATCGAAGATGCCGCAGGTGATTTTTTAGTCCAACCTCATTTGAATAAAATTTTTGAAGTATCCATTACTCTTAGAATAAGCTTCTCAACTCACTAACTATTTTATCGTTGTATAAATCCCACCCTGATCTGATACCTGAACAGGACCCACATCGGCTTCGGTCGCCGTGGATACATCAAACACTTATCAGACCATCTTGGGCTTCGGTGGTGCATTTACTGACGCCGCTGGACAGAACTTCAACGCTCTGTCTGACAAAACCAAGGAGTGGCTGTTGAGGTTCCTAAATCGTATCTATTCTTAACTATACTTTCTATAAAAGAATTAGAAATGAAGTACATTTCATAATTCAGTATATTATACAACAAGTGCTTACTGATGTTCCAAACTCTTCAATTTGCTTAAAATTTAGGTCGTACTACGCACCCGAAGGAAATGAATACAATATCGGCCGCGTTCCAATTGGTTGTTCAGATTATTCAACATACCCTTACTCGCTGGATGACGTCGAGGGCGACGTTGACCTCGTCCACTGGTCCCTTAAACCCGAAGACTACAACTACAAGGTCACAGCTTTCAAAAAATTTGAAGATTTTTTATTTATACTTTGGGAGTCATGCAATGTCAATGGTCCATATAATGAAGGATCTAAGCAAGTGACAGTGAACTGTGTTGCAAACTTGTTAGTTGCAATCTTAATATCAGAAGTTTATCTTGTAGGGAGCAATGAAGATCTGGTATACATTTGATCATAGAGTCAATAGTTGTTTTGAATCGACGCTCTGAAATGAACGAGTTTTTTACGCCTACTTAAAATCAAATAAGCGCCTTCAACGAACTATTACAGATCCCAAATTTGAAGCTGGCCCGGCAGCTGAGCGAGCAGGAGGTACTGATATTCGGCTCCCCCTGGTCTCCTCCCACTTGGATGAAGAGCAATAAAATGTTCAATGGAACTGGCTACCTCCTACCCGAGTACTGGCAGTCCTACGCTAACTACATCGTCAAGTAATAAAATTTATATTTTACATTCCCATTAAACTCTTTCCCCCGTGCCTCCTATAAGTCCTCGCAACTTGACCAATTAAACTTCTCATCAACACAAATCGCGAGATGCGGTCCATTTACCGCGATTTTATATACATGTGGTCACACCTAATGAATAACTAGTCAACTGACAGACTCTGTTTGCAGCATTAATTATTTCTATAAATCATCTATAGCATTTTTCAGCTAGCAGATTATTTATGCAGACCATTGTACGTTACCATGCAGGCCATCAATGACGGGCTTCTTACCGAGCCCTCGACTTCTAATTGTAAGAGGCTCTTTCTTGGTCGTAGGTTAGATGTTAGAGACTAACCGTAATCAATAAGGTGGAAGAATTTTCTTTACAACAATGTTTGTTATTTTACTGTCGGGCGTAATTTCAGGAGCTTACTTTAATTGTCAATAAGCGTTCGTTGTTTTTCAAGGAAGTGTACGAAGCAATGGATGTTTGTTTCGTTATTAGATTAGAATATATCTTAGTCAAGTTGTATGGTTTGAATATTTTGCTCTTGGGCTTATTTATTGATCACACTTAATGGTTTTTGGTCCAAAATCTTCCTCTAGAACTCGTCCAAAGACATAATTTTTATTGATTGCTCATTTTGTTCTATCATCAGATGGGCTTCTGCTTACGAATCTGAAGGCGTTCCTGTGTGGGGTCTCACTCCTCAGAATGAGCCGCTGGACCAAGAAAGTGTGAGCAAACAACATTACTGCACATGCCGTGTATTTTTGACAAACTTATATTAAAACTGGAGAATTTAAATCAATATTTAATTTAAGAAAAAATATTAATATACCCAACCAAAGAATAGTTTTGGTGACTGGTACCAATTTTGTTTGCAATCGTTCTAATGTATTGTTTGTGTGGTTATTAATATGAAAAATAATAACAAATTCACCGATTTTGGCTTTGACAATACAAAATTTTTAACGCTATGGTAGTATATATTTTGAAGGTGTTTTTCTGACGTAGAAGTAATTTGCAAGGAAAAACCTTTTCTTTCCTTCATATATTTAAGCGGTGCTGCTGTTCACTTTATGTTAAGCAAACGAATCATGCAGTCAATTAATTCCCGGAAAATGTAACTGAATGACACCTACTGAACAAAAAATGTGCAAGTTAAGTTTAAATAATCAGCTTTAATGAGTTTATTCTCTAGTTTTTTATTCATAAACGCAAAATGGAGTGAAGCAAATTCTGTCTTAAATTATTAGAATGAAAGGTTTTAAGTTATTATTTGTATTGCCATTGTGTTATTCAGGATTGGATTGGCCCTTCATGCGTGTGGCACCCTGAGAATATGAGGGATTGGATCAGGGACTACTTGGGACCAAGTCTGGAGGCCGCAGGATACGGCAGGCTCAAGATGATGGCTTGTGACTTCAACCGCTACACTAGTCAATTAATTCCCGGAAAATGTAACTGAATGACACCTGCTGAGCAAAAAATGTGTAAGTTAAGTTTAAATAATCAGCTTTAATGAGTTTATTCTCTATTTTTTTATTCATTAACGCAAAATGGAGTGTAGCAAATTCTGTCTTAAATTATTAGAATGAAGGATTTTAAGTTATTATTTTTATTGCTATTGTGTTATTCAGGATTGGATTGGCCCTTCATGCGTGTGGCACCCTGAGAATATGAGGGATTGGATCAGGGACTACTTGGGACCAAGTCTGGAGGCCGCAGGATACGGCAGGCTCAAGATGATGGCTTGTGACTTCAACCGCTACACTTTGCCGTATTACGTCGAGCCTGTGAGTCCTGCCCGCTGGCTTTAGTAACTCAATGCACGTATAGGCCCATTTTAATAATAATAACGGTTTCAGCGTTCATTAGGCCGTAGGCCTGTCGCCGATTCTAAATATCACAGAACTATCACAGCTAGTTGCGGTCTCGAACTCGCAACTCGCTGCTCCAATTTTGTTTGCTCAACTCCTCATCGATTCTGATCAGAAACTGTGGCACAGAGCTGGGACTCTGAACTGGGCCACCCTGCTCATAGATAAAATTATAATTTTCATCGACGTATTTCTCGAATAGTTAGTGTTGCATCGAACGATTTCTTTCAAGAGGCACCTTCCAGCCTGTGCGTATTCAAGATAAGGAGTGACGCTCCGTTATCGTCATTTCAGTGCTTCGCGGACCCCGACTGCAGCAAGTACGTGGACGGCGTGGCCGTTCACTGGTACTCAGACGATGTCGACTCTCCTGACGTTCTCCTCGCGACCAGAGATTTGGACCCGTCCAAGTTCATCCTCTACAGCGAGGCTTGCAATGGTGAGCATTTTTATTCAAATTATTATGTTGGAAATTAAAGGCGAAATATCAGAAATTAAGTGAGAAAAATATATCATGCAATATATACACCTGTTTAAATTCATCCAACTATTTTCATACCATATTCAAGTGTATTTTTTGACAACGATTGTGAATGATATAATTAATTAAACAAACCTCTTTTGAATTTTCGATTTACTCCATTCAAAATGGGCCTTTTCTCGGTAGCCAAAATTGTGATTGCAAAACTAGGCTTATTCGTTCATTACTTCTCTCTTCCTCAAATAGACTAATTCTTTCAAACTATATTTTCAGCGTAATCTATAATAAGAATATTTAGATATTGTCTGATTATTCATTTCGACAAACAGGCTTGCGGGTGCCAACGGAAGAAGCAATTCAGTTAGGAGATTGGACGCGCGGCGAACGATACCTCTACAACATTCTAGAGGTGTGTTCCTCTTGGTGCATCGCTCTCGTCTTCATTTAAATATATTACTTTGTCTTCAACAGCATTTTATGCTTGCCAGACATGCATAATGCTGTATGATTAATACGAAGAACTTTTATCAGTGCTAATTCAATTTACTGGGTTAAAATTACCCTGCAATTTTCTAACAGTTATGTTTTAATTAATTCTACTGCTCGAAACAGGACATAAATTACTACTCAGTTGGCTGGGTGGATTGGAATTTGGCCCTCAGCACCAATGGAGGGCCGCACTGGATTGGAGCAACACTGGATGCTGCAATCATCGTCAATGCGGTATGCTAAATGTCTTCTACTTCTCTTTTCACGCAACTTTATCTTATAATTTCAAGTTGTTCTTCTCACAATTTAGAATTAATCAAACATGAATGATTGTTTATCCGCGCATTTCGGAAGAGAATATTCTTTTCTCGTAGTTTATATGCACTCAAGTATTTGGAGTACAGTGTTACCGAACATTGATGGTGCATGAGATACCTCAATCTATCTGGTGAAATGTTCAATCAATGATAACGCTCATTTGCAATTGAAATTAATTATCTGCCAATAAATGTGCGAGGATTGCAATAAAAAATAACGTAATTGTTACGAGAATCTAATTAAATTGCAACGATGTTCATCACCGCAATGAATCGCATAAATCCACCTATACGTGCATGAAAATTTAAGATTTAGCGTATAAAGGGATTCGATTGCAAATAATTCTAATTATTTGTGCACGCAGACCGCCGACGAGTTCTACAAGCAGCCGATGTTCTACGCGCTGGCGCACGTGAGCAAGTTCTTCAAGCGCGGAGACGTGCGCGTCGACGCCATCCCCACATTTCCGCATTCGATTCAATTTTATTTGATGATGAGGCCAGGAAAGTCAAGGATGAAATATTTTAAGAATTCTTACCAATAACTGTTTAACTTGACGGTGTCAGCAATTTTTTTATTTGTGCTCAAATCTTACCATTATGATGTAAATTTAGGCCATATATTCATGAATGTTTGAACTTGAATTACACTCGGTGAAAATGTAAACAAAATTTCTATCAATTACCCTAACAAAATTTAGAGGAGTGCGCGACCTTGCATAAGGGCTACTTGGGATTCATGGAACACGTAAACCAGCTTCTCTGTGTCAGCTTCGGTTCATGGCTCGAATAGGGCAGCCTCGATCTGGGCTGCTGGCTAGCTCGATCGATATGACTCGGCTCGGCCAACCCTAGTAAAACTCTCAGGCGGCTCTAAAGTCGAATATAGTAGATTCAGCTCATAAAGTGATACCGATCGCGTGGCCAAGCAGACCCAGAATAACTTTGCGCCGAGTGTACTGAATATGCGGCCGAAACCGAGGCGTTCCCCGAATTTTGTTAGGGTAATTTCTATTGAAAAAACTTCTTTTAAAATTTAATTTTTGTAAGGAATTTGTCATTTAATGACATTTTAATGAATAATGTATAGCAATGAACATGGTGTTCATTCATCGAACAGCTCCTTACTGAGCTGTCTCGTGAGTAGGGCACAGCGGAGTCCTTCTCCTCTCGCGACTCCTCTCATTACGTCGCTACTCTCATTATTGCTCTCAGATAACTCTTATGCGCCACTCTGCTTAATAGTTAGGATAATTAGACTTGTAAAGATCTTTTGTTTATTGAACCATGAGATAACAATCTCACACTGATCAAAATTACTTTATCAATATAACGGAATTTGTAATTCTAGTAAGAGTCGACTTTCATAATTAAAAATGACAGGACCTTGTCACTCTGTATTGCTATAGGCATCCTTGTTCCAATAATTATAGTCTTAGATGAAGCTGCACATGGAAACAGATTAGTTTGAAACAACACGGACATAAATATACGTTTGAATATTTTTACCTCGAAGATTACCATAATTCTGAAAAAAGAACAATATCATTGCAGAATTACTATATAAATATTAAATCTTTACTTGAATTTCATAGAACTAGAACCTAAGAAAAAATGTCAGTTGTTCAATCTCTGCAGTCAGGCAAGAATTCAATGGGCATTTTGAAGTTCGATAGATTTTGTCTAAAAACGACACCTAGTTTTAAGCGTTTATGGCCGGACGTATAATAGCTTTAGACCTCAGAGTTGTGTTGCTCATACCTGTACTGTCCTAAATATTTATGTTATGTAATAAAATATTTATGTCAATAAACGAAGCTGAATTCAAATACGAAAAGACTGTGATGCTTTTCAGCTTTGTATTGAATTTATAGCTTTTTACCTTATTAGAGAAAATTCAAATGTCAAAGTTAGCGAGTATGTTACTCTAACACCAAAATGAAAGTAACATAAGTTCATTGGGAACAATAAACCGACTTTTTCATTGAATGCCAAACATTATTACCTTTTGTTGTAGAAGGCAGATTACATGACATGAAGGTATCTCAATCATAATTTCTTTTTAGCGACTTTGAGTTGCATAGACATGTGACACAACAGCTGCTGCGCAACCAGCCAACCTTGATGACAGCCACTAACATTAATTGTTATTTTCATCATTAATAATTTCATCAGTAATTATATCAAGTACCTGATACCATCGCCGTGCAGATGCCCTGGGAGGCGAGCAAGAATCACGTGACCGATAGCGCTGGGGAAAACAAGTTGCATGACTATAGTTTTGTGAGGCGACGTCTTTGTAACAAACAATAAGAGTCACGTATATACTCTTATTAAATTATCTCATTACCAATCTCTTGTAACATGTAAAGAGAACTGGCAGGCTAGCCCGGTGAGGCCCGAGATAAATAGTCCTCTAGATATCAGCAATATTTTCAAAATCATCTTGCAAACCTATACTGATTATTTTCAAACTGAGGCTTTGTTAAGTAAGAAAGACCCGTTCAAATTCACATTTAATAACAAACTTCCATTCGAATTTTCTATTAATATTGAAAAAAGTCTAAATTTTGTATTTATAACAAATTTTGAACTATTATATGTCAAGTACAATTCTATTTATTAATTAAACTGCATTTTCAAATGAAACTTTATGATTTTTCTACTTAGATTTGAAAAATTAGATTAGCAGAACTTTTACAAATTTTTTGTTGGACACACTTTCGAGTGACGTTATTATTTATTGAATAATTATGTAATTCATAGATTCATCATTAGATTTACCACGCTTATTTGTAGTGCTAGGCTTCAATCACAAATAAAAAAAATTCTAATATACGCAATAACTTTACTACCAGAATTAGTGTATAGCGTGACTTGTATCCAAGTTTATGCACTAGAAATTTTAAACAAATAGATGAGACATCACATCCAACTTCCAAAAGCTCAAAATTTCGCAAGATAATTTATTTCTAGATGTTAAAACATCCTGCACTTATTTTGGGGCATAATTAAAAAGCAAAATGTTTATAAGCAATCTTAGCATATTCTAATTTCATGGCCTCGTAAAGAGGAAAAACTTCTTACATGAAGTTATAAGCTTTCGTTAATGCAGGGAATTTTTTTAAAGAGTATATTAAGCATGACAACGGAGCATAAATTTACATTACGTAATATACTTTTTAGTGCTGGTTTCTCGAATATCTGTACCATAATGGACAAACGACGTTTCTTAAATCTGCATCGAACTACTTTTATTGATAAATTAACCCAAACTTCTACTTTTTAGCACGTAGCGTGGATTTTGGATTTTTTAATATGTTTCTTTTCATCATCTGCAGTTAGCGGCAGCAACGACGCAATATATAACCAAGAACTTCGCACAAAATCTGTTGCTAAATTGAATTGGCAATACAGGCAAAAAGAATACACTAACAAAATAGATCATGTGAAGTAGACTTATGTGCCAGCCTTCAATAAAAATTATTGTGCATTGAAACTGGTGCATTAGTATCTTAATTAGGGTTGCCGGGAAAACGCCAGGTGCAGTAAAGACGAGGCTTTATAAAGAGAGTTATAACAGCATGAATTCAGCTTTAGTGCTCAGTCGCTTCAAAGTCGAAGTCATGAAGACATACGAGATGCTGGTGGCTGTGGCCCTTGGGGTCATAGGCCTTAGCCTCACAGTCAACGGCAAGTTATAATTTGGCAATTTTTTACCAGTACAGTTTCTTGGCTACTTGTAAAAATTGGCGTTGCGTTGTTGCTTGTCATACAAGAAACATTTCCAATTCTCAATTTATAAAAATTCGTCCACTGAACTATGTCATTTTAACTTTAACTTGGAGAACACACTTTCTCCTAATGTAATACTCAGATTTATTTGCACAGGCCACTGCTGGGAGAGAAGGTACGACCGCGACAGCTTCGTGTGTCTCTGCAACGCCACCTGCTGCGACGAGCCCGGCATCTTGGCCGCCCCAGAGGCCGGCACCTTCGCCCACTACGTCTCTGACAGAGCAGAGTTCAGGATAGAAGCTTTCAGTGGACCCATCGAAGATGCCGCAGGTGAATATTAAGTATAAGCTAACAGACATTTGTATCCCTGAACAGATATGGAAAGGTGGGAACTTATTGGGAACATGTCATTTATTATTTCATCAGTTTAATGACCTAATTCAATGATATAATTTAAGTTTACCCCGTACAGGATCTGCACCGGCATCGGTTAACGTGGACACGACGCAAACGTACCAGACCATCCTAGGCTTCGGAGGAGCCTTCACCGACGCCGCTGGACAGAACTTCAACTCCCTCTCTCCCGCCACCAAGGATTGGCTATTGAGGTTAGAAATTCGTATCTGATCACATGTCGGCATTCCAAACAAAAATTTCAAATAAAAAAGTTGATGATTCCTCAAAATCAAATAGCATTAATAAATAATTATTGAAAGTTGCACTTAGGGTGGAAAAACATGAGTTTAATCTGTATATTTTTTCTGAATTTATTTTTATATAATTTCAGCCTCAACATAATTTGGCAGTAAAATCCAATTTTTTTAAATGGAAATTATGTTCTTAAATCAAATTAAGAGAAATAATTGTTTACCAAGTTACCAAAAACATTAATTAAATGAATGCCATAAATTAGTTCTCTTTTGCACAAATGGCTATATAAATCACGATAGATTGAAAGACATGAGTTGTTACCTTTCACTTTCGGTCATTGATTTGTTTCAGTATTCTTAAAAACTGTCTTTTAGGACATGTGTAACAGTTATACGAAATAATTTAACCACTCCATTAAGCTTAAATGCACTTATTACAATTATAAATTGGATACTGCAACCCAGCACACCACTGCAACCAAGCACACCCGTTAATAAATTAATCACTCAACGGAGCATATGTATTCAGCAAATGAACCAAAATTGACCGATTGAAGCTCAGTGTTAACATTTTCCAGGGCATACTGGGCCCCAGAAGGTAGTGAGTATAACATCGGCCGTGTACCCATCGGTGGCTGCGACTACTCGCCTCGCGCCTACACCCTCGACGACGTTGAAGGCGACGTCGAACTAGTCCACTGGTCCCTTCAGCCCGAAGACTACAACTACAAGGTGTCATGATTAAGAAAAACATAATAATAACTTATATGCTTTAATACCATTTTACGACTTAGTTATACAGAGAGAAAACTACTTACTTCATAAGTTCTTCATGAATTGTTAGAGAAGCCATTGCAAATATCCAGATTTATACCGATATTAAATTCATTTGTAGCCAATTCTTCATGGGGCTCAAAAGATTCCCGCTCTGTCAATATAATTAAAAATCATATAGCCGAAGGAATGCCAAAAGAATCGTACATCATCGTGATTGTAATCTATTTCTTACTGCCTTCTAAGATTCCCAACGTGAAGACAGCCATGCGCCTCAGTAACGAGGAAATTCTGATCTTCGGCTCCCCCTGGTCTCCCCCCATTTGGATGAAGAGCAACAAAATGTTCAACGGCACCGGCTACCTCCTACGCGAGTACTGGCAGCCCTACGCCAACTATATTGTCAAGTGAGACACTTTAAATAATCGCGATCCATTTTACCTATTCAATGAAGACAGAGTATTAGATTTTGTCGGTAAATCGGTCAATTACTTCTAACAAATTTAAGCTGGAAAAATTTAAGCTGCTTACAAAAGCTGGAAGTGAAGCATGGATTAACCTTCATTGGGTATGTCAATGATAATTGTTACAGGAGTAGAGAATTCAACGACTAATGGCAAAATGTTTTTTAATAGTTCTTTTATTTATTGAGCTATAAGTGGAACTTTATCAACGCCACACTGGAGGAATTACGATTTTAACGTGGCTTCAAAAATTGCGAAATAAGTTCAAATTATTTTACTCGCAGATTGCACTTACAACGCGCCTCAATTTCATTTAAACTGGTGTATCGCATGAATACTTTTTTACTCTAAATATCGAAACCAAACTAATACTCTGATGTGGATAAACTGCCATCGTCACCAAGTTGAATTAATTTTGTAAATCGCTCGCTTTTAGGTGGGCCCAAGCCTACGAGTCAGAAGGTGTCCCTCTGTGGGGCCTAACTCCCCAGAATGAGCCACTCGACCAGGAAGAAGTAAGTATGAAATATGTCTTTAGGTGTTCAAAATTTTGAAGTAACACTGTGCCTCTTTTGGTATCAAGATTGTTAGGAGCATCTGACTGAAATGATTGAAGAAAAGCCGTGAAAATAAAAGGATAGATTGACATTTCAATTGCCAGTTACTTAACGGGAAATTGTGCGCATTTGCACTGAAAAAAATTACCCTGTCAAAATTGCACTGGAAATTGTGCGCACTGTCAGGAAAAAAATCTCGAGCCGAATGAGAAACTCGTGGCGTATACAACTCAAAAAATAGTACACACTGAAATAATTATACAGATAAAAATTATAAAAATTGGGAATATTTATAATGTAAAACAACTTGTTAATGAAATAATTTCAGTACCAGAATGACTGGTAATGTAGCGTATTAGGAAAAACGTTTGATTCAACAAATATTCAATGGAATTTACACAAAAAAAGGCATTGGCTGCCATATTCTAACGGTAAGAATCAATGAAACACACGATACCAGTACATTTTCTGGCCGTTTTTTTAAGCAGTTTAATACTTTTCACGAATGCCCCAATTTTCAGAAATTAAATCTCGGACTCAAAATTTCGGGACAAGCTTCCATGACGAACAAAAAATTTTGAAGCTTGAAGAGAGAGATGCAAAGTTTCCTAATATTTATTCAATGATTTCATACTCAAGTATTGAAATCTTAGGATTGGGTCATCAACTCGTGCCGCTGGCACCCGGACGAGATGAGGGATTGGATCAGAGACTACTTGGGACCAAGTCTGGAGGCCGCAGGATACGGCAGGCTCAAGATGATGGCTTGCGACTTCAACCGCTACACGTTGCCATACTACGTCGAGCCTGTGAGTACTTTCCGTAAGCTAGTTAGCTCTTTTTCAGTAGATCCGCTGAACAATGATTTTACTTCGACGTGTTTATCAAATGATACAAATTTCGGCGAAGGATTCCGTTCACCAGTTACGAGCAAACTAATAAGTAACTCTTACAAGGAGTCACGTTCTATTATTCTCGTGAACTCATTTCAGTGCTTCGCGGACCCCGACTGCAGCAAGTACGTGGACGGCGTGGCCGTTCACTGGTACTCAGACGATGTCGACTCTCCTGACGTTCTCCTCGCGACGAGAGATTTGGACCCGTCCAAGTTCATCCTCTACAGCGAGGCTTGCAACGGTAACGATACAGACGAGCATGGAAAGCGATTTGGGTGATAGTCAAGTTTATTTCACTTCGGTAACGTCATTTCCTGATAGCATCTCTCAATGTATATAGATTATTTTCAAACTTTTAAATAAATATACGGCAAAAAGTTTCATTGAGTGAAAATTTTGTTACTTCTGCGGAAAAATTTCGCCTGAATATTTATCAAAAATAATGGAAGCAATTCGTACGTTCAGTAGGCCGGGAATTTTACAATTTTGGATATCTTTTGATAGTTTGATTTGAAATAACAAATTCCCAAATGTTTACTTTATCTCCACATGTGTTAGGCGTGTTTGCACCAGAAGGAGACGATCTGCTGTTTGGAGACTGGGAACGTGGAGAGCGCTACCTGAAAGACATTCTTGAGGTGGGATTAAAGTCTGAAAAATATCGTTTGTATATCAATTGTAAATTCAAGTTTCTCATTTCGCAAGTTTTATTCTAATTGAGCTACCTATTACCGTACATGAACAATGAGTGTCAAGCACTAAAAATAATTGGTGCTCGGAAAATAGAGCAAAAAGTTTACTCATATAAGTACATATAACTTTCCAATTCAAAGAAAAATGAATCAATTATCTCCAATTTGTGACTACTTAGTATTGAATGTGTATTCGACACACAAGACACCTCATGCCAACCCATCCTGCTTCCTCGTCAGAACCTCAACCACTACTCGGTGGGCTGGGTAGACTGGAACATGGCCTTGGACACCGTTGGAGGTCCTCACTGGATCGGCTCGACCCTTGATGCTGCAATCATCGTCAACGCTGTTAGTTAATTTTAGTCACTCGCATTTAAATCGCATTTTAGTCACTCATATTTAACACGCTAAGTGCGGCTATATCGTATTAAGGGCGTATTTCGTGTCGGTGGGCCGTGCCGCACATAACATGTTAAATTTCGTCAATTTTCCCATGGTAGGTCTAGAAAAACTCTGATATAGCGGTAACAGCGTTTAGTAGGCCGTAGGCCTGTCGCCGATTCTGAACATTGCAGAACATTCACAGCATTTTGCGGTCTCGAACTCGCAACTCTGCTACAATTCTGCTGTGCTGAACCGCCCGGCCTCCTCGCCGATTCTAACCAGAAATTGACGCGCTGAGCTGGGATCGAACCCGCGCCTCTCTGCGCCAATCTTGGCACTCTGAACTTTAACCACTGGGCCACCCTGCCCAGTGAGATGGCATCGCAATGAGATTAAAAACATTTAGTTAGACAAAAAATAATTATGTAGCGTCTAATCTAACGTTTTCAATTTTTGTACGATTGGGATTGTTATTTACTTTGTTGCTCATTTTTGTACACAAATAGACTGTGGATGAGTTCTACAAGCAGCCTATGTTCTACGCCATCGCACACGTGAGCAAGTTCTTCAAGCGCGGAGACGTGCGCGTCGACGCCATCCCCACATTGGACACGATAAATGCCGCTGCCGTGACCAAGCCCGACGGTTCAGTCGCAGTCGTCGTCCTCAATTTGTGAGTTTGATAATTATGTCTCGAATGTGAGGTTTACTCACTTCTATATTGCCTTAAGCTAGAAGTTAAAAAAAGTATGAAAAATTAAATAACATATGAGAGCGCAACGAATACAATCAGAAATTTTGATCAAGTGCCCAAATGCCATTTCCATTTGTGGTATACAGTAATAACTTCCTAGGTACGGCATCTCTCAGCGTTTCATGGACAAACAAGGACCAGCTTACGGATTACCTTGCCTCTCTAAATGCCTCTCAGTGCAATGACTTATTGCAGCATTTAAACGCAAATAACTCAAGTTGTTCTAGTAGTTCATAGTACCGTGGAACAGTATGCAGCTTTCAAGGACTTAGATTTTTGTTATCTTTTTTTCAGAAAGTTATTTGTACTCCATTCTTTAGAAACTCAAAGTTCCTAAAACTGATCACGGCTTTGCTTCCATCTTCTATAGAAACAAGCCGAATGTTTCATGACTGATAAATTCGTTTACTATCGTCCATCCACATGTGTTGCCTTAGACTTTACAAAATGAATTTAGGAACAAATGAATAAATTGTTCCAATCACAGTTCCTCAAAATTTTCTATTTCGCATAGTAATTTCGTGCTTCAAAATATAGATTATAAATTTCAACATCATAGTCTCAATGTTATGATCAAAAAGTATATAAGTGGAAGGATAGATGAATTAGTTTGTTGCATATACGACCTAGTGAAAACACTAAATTTGTTTATTGACGTCTATTAACGGAATAATTATTTTCATGTTTCACATGTATAATCCCTTAGTTCAAAGTTTTCCAACTCAAATTGAAATATCAACTGAGAAGAAACTCTCATATTTTTAGGGCTGAGGAGGCCACCGGCTTGACCATCTCGGTTGACGGGACGCGCTTCATCAACGTCGACATTACGGCCAAGAGCTTCAACAGCTTCGTTGTGCCCCCCGCTTAATATATATTGTATGAGTGCTTCATGTGATTTTTGGAATAAATGCGGTGATCAGAGACTCAACTTTTTCAATAACATTTGCTAATCCATAATATGAAAAGCTAAGATGATATAGCAGCGATTACTATAGTATTGTCGCACAAATTCAGAAAATTCTTCATATAAAAGACAACAATCCAAGGATATAATATTTCTATGTGTTGTTCAAAATAGACTGCGAAAACAGCTACCATATATACATCATATATAAAAAGTCCATATTTTATGATTTTGTGTAGGACTTGTAAGAAAAAGCTTTGTGCTTAACGCCTTCAAGAACCGACCTGACAAAGCCAAGCAGGAGTATATGTTCAGTCTTAAAATGCCTAGCAAATTACGGACCAGGCAATAAGTCCAGACGAAGCTATGCAGGAGCATATGTTCAGTCTTAAAATGCCTAGCAAATTACGGACCAGGCAATAAGTCCAGCAGCTATCTCAATCAATCGTCAGTTATGGAAAGATCGGGTTCCAAAGGCCGGATCCCTTGTGGAATTAAGTCACGAAAAGTACAATTAATTAAGAATCGGCAACAGGCTTGGGTCTATTTCTTCAGTGCCGACACTTCTATTCTATTCTATTTTATTGAATTATCAGTGTCGACCACAAACCTAAAGATGGAGTACATTTCGGGTTAATTGAGACACAATTACTTGCACCATTTATGAATTATTCTGTATGGATTATAAACATAATGTATTTATTTTTTATAACCGAAATTTGAGTGCATGGCGACATTAAATGAAAACCGACCGTTTTTTCAATCTGTTACTCTTTTTCATGTATTATATCTGACTATAGCATCATGTGCGACATGTTAATATACCCTACCGCCTGACATGAGTAACCGGAGCAATATTTTCAAACAAGCTTACACAAAACGGATACGTTCTAGTGAGCGCAAAATGACTTGCGTACAAAGCATGAAGCATACGCACGACACGTTGGTGATAGTTTCTCAGTTCAAATTTACCGCCATTTTCGGCACCGCTTGGAGCCAGCTTGGTCGAAACAACACCGTTTGCTGCATTAATTGCGTCCTTGGCACACGCACAACACCGCTTTTGCCGCCGCATTCCGTAATATGCCTCCTATATATAGCCTCGAATGTTTCACTGCTTAATTGAAAGTCATAGAGTTGTAGGATTCAATGCGAAAAAATTGAGCCCAGATTTCACACACTTGTAAAGAACTTGATGCCCAACCAATACCGAAAATGGATAACCAATAAACACAATACCGTCGCTTTTATAAACGATCTACCAGAATTAGTGTCAAGCGTGTGCTCCATGTATGCCGATGGCACAAAAGTTTATAATACAGTTAAGGATGCGTCAAATAAAATGTAACTGCACAATGATCTTGATAGTTTAGTTGACTGGGCTGATGCGTGGCAGCTGCGTTTCAATGCTGACAAGTGTAAAGTACTTCACCTCGGCAAGAACAATGAACAGCAAGCTTACAGCATGAGAAAAAGACACGGTTGCAACGAGAGGGTTTTTATTGAGAAGTCTTGCGTGGAAAAAGATCTTGGAGTTTGGGTCGACAAGGAGCTAAAATTTTCTAGGCATACTGAAACGCAAGTTAATAAATCCAATAAACTGCTTGGGCTGATCAGACGCTCCTAGGAGTACCTAGATATAGAAATTATAAAGCTGTTGTTCACCTCTGTCGTGCGCCCGAACCTAGAGTTTGGAGTGGTCACCGAGACTTGAAAAGGACAAAAATTTAGTTGAAAGTGTTCAAAGACGTGCAACAAGGATAATTCCAAGCTTATATAGGGCAAGTCTTATGAAGAAAGATTGAAGATTATGAAGCTTCTCAGTCTCCGTTATCACCGCCTGCGTGGTGACCTCATTGAAGTATACAAGTATACTCGTGGTTTGTACAAGGTCCCAGAAGGATTACTAGAATTTGAAACAAGAACCAACACCAGGGGCCACCGCTATAAACTAAAAAAACTGCGGTGCAACTCATCCATGCGACAGCNAAAAGATTTGATCAAAAGGCCAGTCTAGTCAAGGAAAGTACAAGAATCGGCGACAGGCCTATTCTTCAATGCCGAAGATACTACTATACTAATCCCAAGCCATAATTTATTTTGTGTTATATATAAGACCACTTTACAACCCAATGCACTTTCACTACTCGAGCGTGGGCCGATGAGGTCACGGACGGACGGACAGACAGACAGATCGACGGACATGGCGAGCACAATAGTGCATTTCTTCCATAAATGAGAAAATGCCCTAAAAAGATCCCCAAAATTCTGGTTTTCCCTAAAACACATGCTAGGTCCCAATACAATACAAGTCATCCCATTCCTCAAACATAACCATGTGCAGCACGACACATCAAAGGAAAAAGAACCAATTTTCCGCAAACACTGACAATTAAGACATATTCCCTACATACACAACGAACACTTGGGCACTGAACACATTCACACCATACAAAACTTCAGACTACAATACATACCTTATTTATTCGTACTGTTGAGATTGTCGCACCATGTTTGGACTGCTTATTTTGCGTCTGACTTTTTCTTAGCTTATTTAAATTTATTCTACCTAGATAAATAGTTACGCTTCTATAGTAGACAGATCAAATGTTTGTTTTCTAAAACACGTCGTTAGTTAGAATTTCGAAACGTTAATTAGTCAAATAAATGCTATTATATATGCAAGTTCTTTTAGTTTAGGGTCGTCAATACTGGTGGTTGTCCCTTCTCATACTTCCAAAACTAAAGGATCAAACAGGCTTTGCGGAGTGATCGCCGCGCAGTAATTGCGGTAGCGCGTGCGCCACGTAAATACGAGTACAGTCACGATAACCTAACCCAACTTCACTCAATAAACTTCCCAACATGAAGCACTGGGCTACCCTGGCATCACAGCCCTCCAGCTCAAAAATCACCTCCAAAATATGAGACCTTAGTTGCTAAACACGTACAACCTTTCTATACCGGCTAGATATTACCCAGACTCACTAAAGCTCGACATTATGATTTTCCCTAAACTCAACACCTCACAACATCATGTCCATAACTACTGGCCGATTTTACTATTAGACATACACGGAAAACTCTATTACAAAAAAAATTGAGCAACAGAAAACCTCATTGCACCCAACACGCACTACACAACACGGTGTTAGGAATTGAAAAGGGGACAAACAGCCCTAGCCACATTCCACGAAACATTTGGTATACACTAAAGACTAACCAGCACGACAAACCACAGACACTGTGCTCCGCAATGTCACGTAAGACAGCGACCGGTTTCCGTTCAGCACGGCGGTTTCCGTCGAGTGGAAATGACGGTATGCAAACTGGAGGCGAGGCATGAGACCGACTGCTAAAGATGGTTGTTCAGCTGTCAGGCCATAACGCGTTCCAAGGAGTTTCGACAATATCGACAGGTTGGAGGTGGGTCGATATGATTTGGGATCAAAAACGTCAAGGTCTGATTTTTTAATGGAGGCATAATGTGAGCTGAATTGAAGTTTAACGGAACAACACCGCCAGTGAGGCAGCGGTTGAAAAGTTCGACCAGAAAAGATGCTAGGGCTCAGACATTCCCCTTAGCCCAGGTCTTAAAATCTCCGAAATTAACGTAATTCCAAAACCGCTATTCATAATTCGGAGCCGGAATCGTTTTTTATCCAGGAGTGTGGGATAAATGATCTTTAGAGCTATCGATCGCCTTAAAAAATAAATCGAGTTGATGCAAAGCAATCAACTCGACAACAAACATTAGTAAACTTATGAAGAATGTTATTAAATATTTTTTCCGTCTGAAATGTGACGATGCCTCTCGATTCCCATAAAATCGCTTAAATATCCAATGCAAACTCATTGGAAATCTCAATGCAAACTTATTGGAATTAATTTTCAACAAGTAAGTTTCGCTTAGGATGATCGCATTGATGTTAATATTATTTGAGCACTTCCCAGTAATGATCATCTTCATCAACATTATTTCATTCATCGATTCAAAAATTGCTCTAATTAACAATGAACGCTGTGTGCTTCATGTTTTCTTGTAGAAACAAAAGGTATTCGACGTACAAATATGGCTTTTGTTCACCCACTTCCCTTCCCTTCATTCCAGTTATCATTTCATCCTTAATCCCTTACGACGTCTCTCTAACATTTCTCTGTCCCTATTTCATGTTCGTGAAACTTACTTCAAGTTACAGACAGCGATGTGTCCCTCGAAACTAAGTGTATCGCTTCTCTGCCATTTAAATAATATATAACTATTGGTTTCTTGAGTCTTTTGTAATCACTTTTACGTATTATGTGCACTCTACTTGAAATAATTGTTTTAATTACCTCATGATTTAATTACCTAGTTCAACATGGAGAGACTCGGGACACACAATAGACAACCCAACATTTTAGCCACAACAAGAGGGCCAAGCAAAACACCAATCATGCACATAATGTATTGTAAATTATTTCACCCAAGATGTTTAAAAATTCTATTGTTGAAGTCTTAAGAAACTTTAACAATTTGTCAGTAGAAGAAAAAAACTAGTGCAGAGGTTCGATGAACAACAATAAGTCACTAATTTTGAAGTGCAAGGAACGCTAAAAACATGATTTTTGATTATTTTAAAGTTTATAATGATTGGTTACACGCTTATTTGTTTGAACTTATGTTCAAGTCGCATTACATTAAACTTGTCGAATTCTAATAATTACAGTGCATCAAATAGAAATTTCTTGAAACAAAATATATAGGGCTAGGTACGAAGCGAAATGTTTCACTTCTTCCGAAGTGTTTCAATTTCACTTTTAACTATAATAATAACTGCTAATATTATGTTAAATAGGATTTTATTGAATTAGGCGTTTCACAAATTACAATTAACTTCGATTAGACAATTTTTACTGCACGTGGATGCATTGACTAGAGAAAACTGTCCCCTAATTATTATTGTGCACCTGTAATGAACACTTCAAAGCCGCCAATCAGATGAAGGAATAAGGACCAGATTGTGCAGGTCACACAAGGTACGGGTGGTCCGCCATCGTGCTGATGCAGTCGGCCTTCGCCAGGAACTGTTTGCAGTAGTTATTATATCAACAAAAAACATTCATGTTATGAAGTGATGCTTCAGTTGTTGTGGATAGAAGTGAAAGAAGGCTTAGAGTTGTATAGTGATACCATCACGCAACATTGTTCAAAGAAATTAGAGTGAGAATCATAAGCGACACGAATTCACAGGGAATCATATGTCACATTGGCATCAGCAAATGGGGTTACCAGATCTTAGAAACTTCCTGGATAGTCTGAAATTCCAAAGTGTATTTTCACAGGAATTAAAAATAATTTGCATGAATTTTCACACACTCGTAAATCAAATTATCACTCATCGTCTAAGTTAATATTTGATATAAATTCAGTGCAAAATAACCTTACCTAATTGTGCTGCTATTAAACAACTTTGTACATGTCTCGCTTAAGCAAGAAAAACTTACGGCGTAGTTGTTGATGGTAGTGCCACATTTTTTCACAGCGGAGTCGTACTGAGCAACTTTGCACTTAGGGTCGCTTGTGGCCCAAGTCTTGTACAAGGCTAAGATCTTCGTGTTGTCGATGGAGCCATCAGCCTTCAACTAGAAATGAATGAATGAGTGCTGTATTCACATTCACAAGGATTGTAACTATAATATTATACAATTTAATAACTAATGCAATTATTTGAAATAGATTTCTCAGATGGTGCACTAAATATAGCGTTGGTCACATTATGAGCTATCACGGTCAACACCACAAATAGTGTCAGCTGTTATCCAAAGTGGAGTTCATGACAGATAATGAAAAGGCATCTTAGCGATATTTCCTGACTTACGTAACCAAGTTTTCCCGCTACACATTTCATGAAGGGAGCTGCGCCAACTTCGCACTTGCGATCGCCGACAGTGAAGGTGTAGCCCCCACAGCCATAATTACCTGCATAACACGTGAATTGCTACTTATTGCTTTAGATCTCTCATGAATTTACTATGGTTCCACTCACTATTTTAAAATACGTCACTAGATAACACCAATAATTAAGTATAAAAAGTCTAGAACTGAGTTTTGGAAACGAAAAATGAATTACACGTGGGTGAATTAGCCATAGAGTAGCGCGAAGGTAGAAAATTTCAGATCAACCAATTGATGGTAATGAATCTTGCAATATCTAACCTACGATGGCAGTCAAAGCGGCTTTTCCAGCTGGATCCGACATGCAGGCGCTGAAGGCAGAATTAAAGGCTGCGTTCCTCAATTTGCTGTAGAGGGCTGTTGTACACTCATTGGCACTGGAGTGGAGAAATAAATATGAATAAGTATACAAGGTGATACGTAACATCAAGAGATAAACATTTCCCATATTAGTCAGGAAAACAAGAAATATCCATACAAAATTATAGCACAAAGTAATATCATCTAATAATTTAGAATAAATGTGAACAGGATAGGAGAGTACATTCAAATTTAATTGCTGAGTTTACTTACCCTTCAACACTGGAGCAGGCAAAGGTTGCTGCGAGAAGAAGGACAAGACCGACAGATTTCATCCTGGTGGTAGTCGTAAAAGGCTGAAGCGACAAGAAGGCTAAGGCAAAACGCGTCGTGAACGAAATGCTGTTGGAAGGCCTGTGACTTGGTACGAGACATGGTCTGTCTTTATAGCTTTATATTATTGAAACAGTTGGTTCTATTTGTCGACCGCGTGCCGACAGCTGTCTGTCAGAGATTATGCGTCACCACTGCTTGTGGCATCTAGCTCCACAGTCAAATGTTGGAATTTAAATTTAACTTTTTGTTGGGGAAATTTAAACTTTCCGGTTGAAAAAATAAAAAATATATAAAATAAATTAAGTGGAATTATATACGAAGATGACAGAATTAAGTTGAAATTTTCTTATTTATTCCGTGGAAAGTTATTTGCTGGAAGAACCTCAATTTGTGTTCTAATAAATTTTTTTCCATTACACGTGGATGTACATTTGATAAGAAGAGCATATCCTCCGTGCTGAGCGTTGGTTCAGGTGAAGTGGCGAAACGTTTGAACAGATGCTCTATGTTTGCAAAGACGCCAAAACTGACAACGTGACTGATGACTTTAGAACGCAAATGATCACAATCTGAGTGTGTCCAGTTGAATTTGCACATCGACATGCACCAGTTGAATTATACGATGCCAGTGGGCTGTGTCAGCGTTATCTCTATAATTCATGAGCTGACTCGATCGTGGCTCGATTCAACATTACAGCATACATTCTAGCATGTGACATTCTGGGTTTCATGCTAGTTATAATTTTATAATCCATAGACTGTCTCGGTATTCCTCTTCACATTACAATATACATTCTATCATACAAAACTCGTGGATGCACGGGATTGATGAGTGCCAAAACTGCGTGCGTATCAAAATGGGAGTTCGAATAGCGTAACGGGCTGCGGATCGGCCAAAAAGATTTCGTTTTGGGCCCCCGATATGATTTTTCTGTGTGACTCCTCTTAAATACACGCACTGCTGTCTAATATAATAATAATATAGCTAGTTCAGCTTTTGTTAGGCCGTAAGCCTGTCACCGATTCTTAACATTGCAGAACATTCACAGCTTGTTGCGGTCTCGAACTCGCAACTCACTGCTGCAATTCTGCTTGCCTAATCTCCCGGCCTCCTTGCCGATTCTGACCAGAAACTGGCGCATAGAGCTAGGATCGAACCTGCACCTCTCTACTTCAATATTGGTACTCAGAACTGTAGCCACTGGGCCACCCTGCTTGCACCTATATAGCGACAGGAAGATGCATGAAAAGCCTGACTACGCATTTAACCGCGCCAACGTTCGGCCAGGGGCCGTATTATCAAAACTTCGTAACTTTTTGTACTTCCGACAAAAAAGTTACGTGTTACGTAAGTACACCCTAATTTTGGCATTATCAAAACATTCGTACGTAAGACTTAGCTAAAAGCGTACTATCAAAACCTTCTGGCCAACTGACCAATCAGAGGCTTTGGATTTGTTTACATTCTGTGAACTTCGATGGCGAGAATCGATGCCTTCGAAGGTATCGACTATCGAATGCTGTCTGTCGGTATTGCTCCTTGTTAGCCCAGAAAAAGCCGTTCTAAAATAGTTGTGAAGTGAGAATGTGAACTCTTTTTAATAAACAGCGTGAGTTGAAGAAGAAATCTGTGTACGGAGCTAAAAATTATGGTTGGCAGAGATATAAAGTACCGGCTAGAAGGAATGAACGAATTGAATTTTTGAAAATGAATGAAAAAATTCTTGAAATTTTTTGAAAAAATGAATTGAATTCTTTTCCAATAGCACTGTTTAGCACGATCACATATTTTGATCGTGCAAATGCTGCACGATCAAGTAGTGGAGCCATCACAAGTAGAGCCATCATTCTATGCGTGTATAATCCGCGCTGTCGGATTATTGACAAAATTCTATCACAAGTCAAGGTGTTCCTATTTGCTAGTAAATCAATAGTTTCCTATCGCTTCAGCAGACACTCTAAACTTGTGCGGAACTCCACTTACGACATCTCCGAGCTGGCGTACAGTTACGTTACGTATCTTCCCGCGCAAATGTTTTGATAATACACTGGGCCACCCTGCTTGCACCTATATAGCGACAGGAAGATGCAGGAAGAGCCTGATCGATGACACATTCACCCGCGGCAACGATCTGCTGGACAGGAAGTGGTTGGAGGCGAAGAACTGCTACAGACAACATGTAATTATCTTCGAGGTAAGTCACATGTGTAGGGTAAAGGTCGGCAGCCTGTTTTGACGGTTGACCCTCAGATATGATATTTTCATTTACGTCGACACCCTTCATGCACACACCCATGCAAATCGGTGGCAAAATAATACAGCATTATTTACTTAGTTGATGATCATAAGTAAACAAATGTGACAGAAAGATTTTAATCAAATTAAGCTTATATTGTGCCCTATTTAATGTTAGGAGATTCTTTGTTCTTTCTTTACATAGGACTGGCGGTGCATGACTTTATTAAATAATAATGGGACAATGGCAGGAAAAACGTAATGTTAACAAATTCATACTATTATACTAGCTACCCATAAAAACTTAAGACAGTAGGTCACTAAAAAATGAACAGAACAAAGGCAAAATCATGACTTTATTAAATAAAAATGGGACAATGGCAGGGAAAACGTAATGTTAACAAATTCATACTATTATACTAGCTACCCATAAAAACTTAAGACAGTAGGTCACTAAAAAATGAACAGAACAAAGGCAAAATCAACATTACACTGATTAAAACAAGATGCTGCTAAAAAGTGTCACAGCAATAAAACCTATGTAATAACACACATCAAATTAATAGGGGGCAGGTATAAAATTGCGAAATTTTTATTTATAAAACAAAATTTAACAATCTTTTTTAAAATCGTCCAGCAACTCGTTAAAATATTGGAAAAAGATAAACTCGCATGTTCATCCATTTCCAAGCGAACCGGCGGCAAATTACAGCGTACGCCTCTGGTATTATGGGAATGACGAGGAACAAGAGGGACGAACATAGATTCAAAAACTCGTTTGTCATGAAAAAAGTGTCTATTCATGAATTTAAAGAGTCGAAATTTGTACATATCATCCAGCTTTTACATTCCTAATGCCTGTTTAATTCGTTGTTACATGTAACCAGGATTTTGTTTATATATCTAACCCTAAGGATTGATAGCAGAGACCTATTAATTAACGTGGCAGCTGTTTTATCTGTATTGAGAGATGCACAACCCCATATTATTGACGTGTTTGGAAGTTTAAATAAAAACAATGAATAAAAAATCGTTTTCAATGATGAGAAATTTAAGACGCTCGAAAGTTCATGTAGCAACCAGTGGGCTTTAATGAGCGTACATAATGTGTTTTTAAAAGAAATACTGTTTATGTCTTCAAATATAAATATTGTTTATGTCTCGACGATTAAATCCTGGAGCCGTATGGTCAAAACTTCGTAAGTACGCAAAATCGACTTACGAGTGGCGTAAGTGCAGATATGATGACGTAACTCTAGCGGTGGTGTTATCAAAACATGCGCGCGGGAAGCTACGTAACGTAACTGTACGCCTGCTCGGAGATGTCGTAAGTGGAGTTCTGCACAAGTTTAGAGTGTCTGCTGATTGCTGAAGCAACAGGAAACTATTGATTTACTAGCAAGTAGCAACACGGTGAATTGTGATAGAATTTTGTCAATAATCCGACATAATAAGTGATCGTGCTAAACGGTGCTTTTGGGATAAAAATTTCAATTGCCTTTTGTGCTATAATTTACAAGCAAATTTTGATATTCATATCCTAAAGTTCAAGTCAATCACTTGAACAATATCTTAATGCATTTTTTATTCAAATTATACTGAGGTTGACAAGCCAACCATTTTTCTAGTTCTCTGTAAATTAGTTTATGACAGTCGCAACTCCAACTCACGAAATTTTCTAAATTCTTTGTAGCCTTCTAAATTATTCTTCTAATTTTGAATGGAATAATGCATTTATTTGCCCTTATTGCAAGAAATTCGGTTAATGATCACAACAAAATGTGCATTGCTATTTGGATAACGTCTCACTCATTTATTCAAATACACCCTACTGTAGACTCCTGCGTCTCTAAATAATTTTCTCGAAATGAACGAGACGAGAAAATTCCGGGAAAAAAATAACGGGACAGAGGGTAAAATTTGTCCCGGAATAAACGTATCAACCGAGACAAGACTTCTGTCCCGGACTTTAAAACTTGTGTCCCGGTAAATTATGAACCGGGACGAGACAGACAGATTTGAAACGAGACATAACGAGAGGAGACGAGATTTGTCTTAATTATTTAACACAAACCAAGTTTTTCGATTACGATACGAATCATTTTGAAAACATGGGTTGAAGAATGACAAGTTAGCCCTTTATTGCTACTAATAGGGCCATAGACAGTTATCAGTTAAATTTAGTTAATTGCAGATTTAGCAAAATTTGTCTGACTAACTGACATGGCAGTTAATTAGTGGTCCGACAAACACCGCAAACCTGTCGATGTATGCATGGCTGAGTATTGAGTCAAAAATCTTACTCTTAAGTCTTAACTAAGGCTTCGATGGCACTTATGGGAACCTTACGAATGGTTCAGGCGCCGTGGAGCGCATATCGGGAGGAGGGACGCAGTGTCTAGACTAGTCGGCCAATTAGTATACAGTGGAGTGGAGTCCTGGTAAGATATTTCTAGTAATACTAAAGCTAGTATTAGATTATCTCTGCCTTTAGTAAAATTTTGTGCTACGCCTCCAGGAAATCTTTACAATTGCGCAGTTTCCTGAATTGTTATCAAACACTTGGGCTTGTTTAACATTATTTAGAAAGAATACACATGGATATTTCGAGTTCTTTTTTGAAGATCAAACTATTATATTTTTTCCAACTTAAATTTTGTTGTATTTTAAAATGTTGTTGATATTTCTTTCCAAAGTTTTTGTTGAAGGAGATTGCTTAAGGCAAGATCGATGAATATGATTCTGTGATTGAGCTGGAGGTAAATCAAAGTCTGTCCAGCCAGCCGATGTCACCAGCTACAGCTAGTATGGCCTCCACCAAACCATCACAGAACACAATTTTTGAAAAAAAAACGTGTTTTCCATTTTTATTTGCCTGTCAAGATTAAGTACCATATTAAACCACAACATGTATTCGTAGCAAAAATCCTTTCAATTGCCGAGCTCCAATCAGAATAGTAAAAGGATACGTCTCAAGTTATATAAATGCAGAGGTGGGCAGCAGCGCGCTACATGTAGCGGCCGCTACATTTTCAGTAGCGGTA